AACCATCCCGAGGTAGACTTCTATGGCGAGTGTGGAGCCTGGTTTCACAGTCATAAGATCCAATTGGGAATTGGGGACGTCAAACCTTAACTCGTTCTTCCGGCTTGAAACTAACATGTAACCCGTGTGATCCGGTATTAGCTGAGTACGTATACCAGGCCTCTGAATGAAAGCCCCGAACAAGATACCATTGTTCCTAATGTCGGAGACATCCCTATCTTTGTCTAACGAGATATAAAGTTCGGTGAGGGTCATGTTGATCAACCATTTGGGCTCTATAAAGTCGTCTGCCAGATGCCGCCGCCCGTACACGCCGTTTTTTAAGTGCAGGACGTACGAGGTGTCGTCCACGCCAGGCTGATCGAACCCCCTTGTGCCTCCTAGACCCCCGAGTGTGATGTTGGGTAGATGATCGGCCATTGCAGCCCGCCTATTCACGTTGTCTTTCAAGTGTAGGACGTACAAGGCGTCTTCCTTGCCGGGCAGATCGAATCCCCCAGTGTCTCCGTCGTTAAGTGTGGCGTTGGGCATTGCTATAATACTATTACGAGATAGTTTCCAATTGTTTTTCTGATAATTTCTCAGGGGTGCACTTCACCCCCATGAAGTGTATGTTGTCGGGTAGGAAGATCTTGGTGAGTGATATCGTGTCTTCCACGGTCACGGTGACCCCCTGCAGACTGTTGTGGGAGTCGACACCCACCCGCACGTAAACAGTGCAAACCTGATACTGGTGCCGTTTCACCCACCGGAGTTTGATCCCCTTCACGACTTCATCCTGCGATTGTTCCCCTAGGTAGACTTGGATGACCAGCGTGGAGTTCGCCAGTAGGCTCGCCAGGATGTTGACCACGCCAGCGAATTCAGACACCAACTGCAATGCCCCGTCTTGCACTCCAGCTTTACTCGATAGCATGTGGGCTGCCATATTGGAGAGATTACACTACGTCTCTGTGCCAGGACGTAAGCCACGAGCAGGGTTCCGTTGTTCACGACTTTGTTAAGGTAGTTGTCTTTGTTCTCCGTGAACACGTAGGGGGAGCCGAGACTAATGTTGAGAAACCAATCGTGAGAGGGTAACAACACCCACTTGTCGTTGTTGGTGAAGACGAGCGTATACTGCTTGTTTCGGGCGACGGTCGTGCTCTCAACATCTTCTAAGTCGAACAGTTTGCCTCCGAACGATTGGGATACCGCCCATCTATCATCACTGATGCAGACTAGGTTGAACCGAGTGTTGAGGCCGCTCCTGAGACATCTACTATGTCACCTAGGGTTCTCCCGATGGAGGGGACTTCAACGCGTTTGTAAATATTGTTTTTCAGTTGCAAGGCGTACAGTTTACCATCTACTCCGGGGTCGTCAAATCAGCGTGTGTCCCCGAGGTCGGAGATCCCCACACTGACGCATTTTTTCAACTTCATTCCGGGACCTTGTTCGCTTGTCATTTTATGTGCAGCGTTATGCTGAGGTATCCTATGCTTTATATCTAACACTGATATTATCAACTCAGGGATGTTGCCCCGAGTTAACCTCTTATACTGCTGCGGTGAAAACGACTCGGTTCTACCGTCGTTGTATTTCTCCGTTTTCACCGGTACGGCACTCAGTATCGTGGAAGGGTGGCCACCTTCAATGTTGTCCGTTGTGCTCAACTGGACGAGATGAATGCACAGCTCTCGGTACGATAGGTCGGGTAACTTCGTGCCTGTGACGGTAGTTGTGGGTTTTATCTCGTCAGGCGACATCCCGAGTGTCCTCGCCAATGGTCGGCCGAGCCTCAAGGGGTTTATTCCATTGTTGGTTAACACCACTGTGCCATTTGAGTTGTTCATCTTGAGTTCGGCTCCCAAGGGTTTGAAGACCTCATCACTTAGCGAGCACACGCTGTAGTAGCCGTCGATTATCTGGTTGCGGGCGCCACTGGTGAACAGCTTGTTGTTGTTGGCGTTGATGTTAGTCCATCGCGGTAGGTAGGTGATATCACAGAGTGCGACTTCGAGTTGGCCCGACATGTTATTGATCGCGTGCATCAGCTGAACGGACTCGCCGCTCGTTATTCCTGGAAGTGTTACGTACATGTTAGAGTATATATACTCATTATATAATACTTTAAAAATGTACAAACGAGGAGGAGAATCCTCCTCAGGAGTGTTTTACCCTCCGGGAGTGTTTTACCCTCAACTGGATATAGATTTCCCGCACATGAAGATCGTGGTCGCTGATGGGCTGTATTTCAGCGCCCAGTTTATAGATGTATTTGCCAGGTATAGGCGGACGATTGGAAAATGTTCATGCTGGACACGTCAAAAGGGTTTACCCGTGCCGGTGTAACCAGATTGAACCACTCGATTCGAACGTACGTGTGGGCGCTGTTAGGTGCGCAGACGCAAACGCGTTCCAGTATCATCGGTAAGGGGACTCTTCCATTAAAGCCATAAAGTATTGGGTAAGATTACTGCATATGCCATGCCATAGGTTTCGGAAAAAATGTTATGATATGATGAAATTGTATGATGAAAATGGGAAAAGGAATTGGGTGAGTGATATTAGGGAGTTGTTGTACAAAACTGGTTATGGTTATGTGTGGTGTGATCACAATGTTCAGTTGCATACCAATTTTATCATATCCTTTACACAAAGAATGAAAGATATCTATTTCCAGTCTTGGTCGGAATCACTACTTCTATCCACAAAATGTTTATACTATAACCAATGGAAATCGGACATACGTTTTGAAGACTATTTAGCAAAAATCGGTAAAGAAGTTCCGTATAGCTCTCTCTCGTTTTCGTTGCTCTTCCCATGAATTATTTATTGAAACTGGCAGGTATGCAGGCATACAAAGAGAAATCAGAATATGTCAGTTATGTAATATGAGTACTGTTGAGGATGAACTACATTTTCTTCTAATCTGTCCTGCTTATACGACTCTACGAACAAAATACCTAAAGCCATACTATTATAAACATCCAAGTGTAAGAACATTAATTTCACTATTAACAGATACTACCACATCAATATTACAGAATCTGGCAATGTACATCTATTTCGCTATGAGATTAAGAAAAAGTATTGTTACAGAAAAGAATTTATAAATGATTTCTATCTACTCATGTAAACTCTAAATGTACTACAGCCTAGGCCTGTGGCCTTTTAAGTACTGAAATAAAGATTGATTGATTGATTGATTGATGCGCAGAAACAGTTCGTGTCCAACGTCGAGGATGCCATCTCCGCCCCGGTCGATCTACCAGGTGCCATCTGACGATACCAAGAATATGCACGGTCGAAAGTCGACTACGTGTTCGACGTGGGACTGTACATGGCTCCGAGCGACATGCGACTGAGAATCAACAAAGTGGTGGGCTACAACAACAAAATCGTTGTAGCCACGACCGACCAGAAGCAGGGTATCAACCCCGATGTCAACGTCCCCCACGTACCACCCACCACGACCGGTGAAACGGGCATAGTCGTACCACCCCCGGAGCCCAGGGTTCACCCAACACCACCACAGCCCCAACCCCCACAATCCAATCAGCAGCACATCGACCGTAAAACAGCGCTGGTGGTCGGGGGGATCGCTGTCGGTTTGGGCCTCATTTGGTTAAAAATTCCTTAGCCGCTACATACACCAGACCCGCCACGGCGACGACGGCTGCCCACAGGTTTTGACCGAGCCACGTGACAGTTTTAGCCAGCGTGCTGAGCAGCCACGAGACGATGCTACCCAGGATGCCGGGCAGGGCTTCGGCGGCCTTACCAGCGAGTTTAGCCAGGGCCTCCCAGAGTGATTTCAGGTGTTTTTATCCAGTCTCTGGCGTCACCAGTGGGTGTTGGTGTGCCACCACTTGGTGTACCCCCACTCAGCGACATGACCAGGGTTGATATGATGAAGCCCAATGCAGTCAGAATGCTGGCGATAGTAATCCCTTGCTCTCGGAAAAGGATTCGGATCCTGTTGGCCAACGTGGTGTCTTCATTCAGGACTCGATCGATGGTTTCCCGCACGCGGCTGATCTGGGATTGAAGCTGTTCCCAACCGAGTCCGTCGATCATCTTGCAAGTTGCGCAATCGTTCCTCGATACGGCGCTTCATATCCTCGTCGTCCGTTTTGGTGAGTTTTACTTTCTCGAGAGCGATGTGCTCATCGATTTCATTCAGTTTCCCCATGTTGTTCACGGGTTCTCCGCGATGTACATGTTTCAAGGCTTCGTCTAGGCCGTACAATTCCCTCAGGGGAAATTCGAGACCTGGCAAAGGCTTGTTCCAGTACGTGCTCAACAGTTTTTAGACGCTGTCCGACGTTTCTTTAGCACGTTGGGGCATATCACCTTCACCGCTGAGTTCGGCCCTGGCTGCTTGCAGATCTTGGATGACCTCCGGGGGAAGCTTAGGCCGTGCGCCACCGTAATCTATGAAGCCTAGTTCATCACGGATCAGTTGACTCCCACCAGGGTGTGACTGGTGAGTGTTGACAAAGCATACGGTCCTTTCCCGTCTTTTTTCATGATATCGACCCCCGGGTGAGCCTTCGATCGCAGCGTGCCCTTCTTATCGATGGTAAACTTGGTATAGTCTCGTACCAACGGCTTGATGTTGTCTCTCTTTTCAACTGCGGCGTAATAATCGTCGACGGCCGGATGTACAAGTTCAGCACTTAAGGGGCGGCCGAGCCCCAAGGGGTTGTTCGTGAATGCGGTGTGTCATCGTAATCCCCATCAGCACCAGCACCCATATCATCCATCGGGATGTCCTCATGGACGCCTTCAGCCATTATTTATGTTAAACTTTTATATTTTATGTATATAACAATGTATGGTAGGAAACTAGATCCTTTCCGAAGATCATGAGAGCCTCTAGGCGTCAGAGCCGTGCGCCTGTCGGTGACCATCACCAACAATCCCAGCAAGATAGACCAGAACCAAACGCTGCTGGTTAGATTCCCCAACCTGGGTGAGAATGACCTCATCGTACCAGGCACGGTTCGACTGACGTTCAACCTCACTTTGACCTCCGACAACGACAAACGCGAGCTAGTGCGGAACGTAGGTCGAGCCATCATCAAGAAAACCACCTTCAAAATCAGCGGTAACGAGGTGTTGAGCATCGACGACAGCGACGTCTTTCACTGCTACGGGGACCTCTGGAAAAGCAAGGGAGAACGCGTCAATGACGTGTACCAAGGTATCAGCAAATCGACTCGGTTGCGTATGGCTTCACGCAAGACCAGCTAGACAAGATCTCAGAGGGTGAAAAGGCCATCGCCTAAGCGTACGGGAACAGGTTCTGCGTGCCGCTCAACTTCGAGTTGCTCACGGGACACGCGCCGTTTTACCAGGCCGCGCTTAACGACTACAGCAAAGTCGTGCGTACGCCGAACGGTGATGAAGCTAGTTATGCCATCGACAACATCTCTCTGGAGTTCGACATGGTCACTAGCCCGGAGCTGGCAAGGCAGGTTCGAAACCAGTACTCAGGGAAGGTGGCCATCCTGTACGACCGCATACTGCGGCAAAGAGCGATCAATCGGGACAAGAGCGACACGCTGTGGAACATCAACCTAAACGTGCCGGCGCGATCGATGAAAGGTACCCTGATCGTCCCCGTGGAGGATTACGAGCCTTTCCCAATGGACAGCGAGAAGTTTTTCAACCCCGAGATTGAAAAGGTGGAAGTGACCATCGAGGGCGTGCCCAACCAGCTGTTCAGCGCCGGTATGAGGGCACACCAGCAGTGGGATGAGATAACGAAACTACCGACCCGGCACCAACACGTCATCAAGGACCTGGACCTATCCTCCGTGCAGATCGGGGAATACCTGACCACCAAGTACGCGCTATGGTTGGACATGCGATCCACGGATGATGATAAATTGCACGGCAGCGGTCGCCGCATCGACAACGGCAGGGGATAACAATCCAGATTACCAAGAAGGCTCAACCCGCGGGCAAGTTGAAATTATATCTGTACGTGATTTTGGACGCGCAACTTAATATAGATAATGGGAGATTCGTGCAAGCCATCTATTGATCTACTCCGCGACCCGCACTGCGCCATAGTGTGCGGGCAGACTGGTTGTGGGAAGACAGTTTTCGTGCTGGATATGCTGGAGGGGCACTACCGGGATGTGTTTGATAACATCGTTATCATGTGCCCTACTCTGCACATGAATAGAATGTACACGGAAAGACCTTGGGTGATGACGGACCCAGACGTACACCGTGGCCTATAGGGTGTTTTAGCTTAGCAATGTTAAGTAAATGCTAAGCAATGCTAAGCAAATGCTAAGTTATTATGGTTTGTGAGTGCTCATCGTTTGTAATTTAACCTTCATCTCGATGTGTTTCGCCTGCATCGGTTATTATATCATTAGAGTTAAGAATCGCTTGGTATATTATAGGATGGAGTGCGACAACCTGCTCAACCAACTGTTGTTGGAGGGTGATAATCGACCGCAGGATCAGAGTGATGACAAGCGAGAGAAACTGGTTGTGCTGGCGGTCGGTGGCAAGGCCAAACAATACTTTGGGGATTATACCCCTGATAAAATCCAGAAACTGTCCGCCGATGAGGTCGATAAGCTGTACTCGAGATACGAGTCCCGTCTCAGGGCCGAGATGACAAAGACTATAGGCTCGACAATGACGCAGATCTACACCGGTTTGGCATCGTATTTCCTCCCCATTCCCCCGGAACGCCGGCTTTACCTGTGGGAGGACCTCAAGAAGGACCCCTTTATACAACACGCTTCGAGCGAGCCGTCAGCTGCCTGCTGTACCACAAATACGGCATGTTCTTAGCCCCGGTGACAGCGGCGATCATCACGGCGAAGCATTGTCAATTTAAGGAGGGGAATAATAATAGTAATAGTATACAAGATGGATGGTGCTCAGACAACCCAACCGGAGAATACTCCCCAGGAGGAGAATCCTACAGTCACCAGGAAGAAGAACCCTAAGAGAGTCGCCACCGGTAGAAAAAGGTGGTCTAACCAACATTAGAGTAACTACACTCCACTCCTATGGATTGCAGGCGCAACTGCTGCCGCGGCTCTCTCATTATTGTTATATAATAAACAACCACCCCGGGAGGGTATCCTTCCACCACAATTAGAGGTCAACCCACATATCATGTTATAAATATATATTTTTATATCATATACATAATGTCTGAGGGTAATACGTTCGTCAACGATGCATACCACGCCACTGTGGTCGCCAGTCTAGCCGTAGGGTACGCTCGGTTGACCAAAATGGTGCTTAAACAACCGACTATCAAGCTAGATTTCAACCTGCAGGATATGGGGATACTTATAATGAATCTGGGTATGGCGACGGCCACCAAGGACATCCTCGTAAAACAAGGGATCATACCGGAACATATTTTGAAGTAAATGTAACTATATATAGGATGGCTACGATCGCCATGATGGTTGGCGGGGCGTTGGTAAACGCCCTGGCATTTTCCGGGAGTAATTTCCTCTTCTCGAAACTACGAGAGTCGAACGCGGCCGAGATAGAAGCGGAACAAAAACACCACGACTTAGCCGTGGAGCAATTACAAGCCACGCAACACATTTACCAGAAGAAACGTATACAGATGATCGATTTTATTAACAAGCAACTCAGGCGTGAGAACCATGCCATGATGAACATTCCATGATGTCGAAGCCGCAGCGAGAGAATTATACCTGCTAACCGGCAAACAGCTAGAACTACCCCATAAGCCCACACTCGCTCAGTACTACACACCATCCCCGCGGCAAAAGGACCGGGAATTGATCTTTATCGCGCTGGGTCTAGCAGCGACTGCGTTGGTTGTAAAGCAATTAGACTAAGTCCCCATATGAGTATACCAAAGATGAGACCTTCCCCGTACCGATGCCATACTTAGGGGGAAGACCGAGACCTGTGGTAGGAAATGTAGGATGGATGCCTTGGTCAAACCCGTTGAGGCTGCTGGGGGTACCCCCAACACACAAAAAACACAGGAGCACGAGGCCTGTGGGTTTGGATACGTGGTCGTCCGATATGATGGGGAAACGAGAGCTCCCGCATAGTGTACACGGGTCCCGACGCGGCTGAAAAGTTTCTAAAGTGTTTGCAAGAGGAAGAGAAAACTATCAGGAATGCGCTGCATACAGTCGCTCCCATGCGTATGACTCAAGCCGACCGACTAGCTCACGGCTGCAGCACTCACTGCCATGTGTGTGTGATAAACCGCTGAACGGCTATTCGGTGAGAGATCACTGCCATGTCACCGGTAAGTATAGAGGCGCCGCTCACACCGCATGCAACCTCAAGCTCAGAATCAACCCCAAGACAATAAACATCCCCGTGGTCTTCCACAACTTGAGAGGGTACGACTCTCACTTGATCATGCAGGCCATCGCGAAAGTCGATGGCAACCTGACGTGCATCCCCAACAACAGATACATCTCCTTCTCCCTGAACGGCCTGAGGTTCATCAACTCGGTTCAGTTCCTCCTGTCGTCACTCGACAGTCTGGTCAAGGCCAACGATACCTTCCCCATCACTGATTGATACACCGATACCGAGACTCCACCCCTGCTGATGAGGAAGGGTGTGTACCCCTACGAGTACATGGATGGCTGGGCCAAGTTCACTGAGACCCGACTGCCTCCCATCAGCCGATTTTACAGCAACCTGACCGACTCGACAATCACCCAAGACGATTACTCGCACGCGATTAACGTATGGAATAAACTGGGCTGTAAGAATCTGGGTGACTACCACGACCTGTACTTGAGAACAGACCTACTCCTGCTGTTCGAGACGTTTAGGCGGACGTGTTTTAAGCAGTAACAACTCGACCCCGCATGGTACTACACCAGCCGAGGGCTATCTTGGGATGCCTTGCTGAAGAAAACTGGAGTTAAGTTGGAATTGCTCACCGATTACGACATGCACCTGTTCATTGAGAAAGGCTTGCGAGTTGGGATTTCCATGGCCTCTAAACGCTACGCAAAAGCCAATAATCAATACGTGAAGGGCTACGACTCAAGCAAGCCAACCACTCACATCCTCTACCTCGATGCCAACAACCTGTACGGCTGGGCCATGAGCCAGTATCTACCTACAGGGGTATTGGAATGGACATCACCTGAGATCGATGTTATGAGTATCGCGCCGGATTCGAACAAAGGCTATATCCTCGAAGTGGACTTGGAATACCCCAAGGCATTGCACACATCACACAAGAACTACCCCCTGGCCCCCGAACGTTTGAGGGTTAACCCAGACTGGATGTCCGAGTACCAACATAACTTGCTGGGTGGGCGGGTGGCAGACGTTGAAAAACTCGTGCCCAGCTTAATGAATAAGACCAAGTACATCGTTCACTATCGCAACCTACAGCTGTACCTGTCGTTGGGTATGAGGTTGACCAAAATACACAGGGTGCTTGTGTTCGACCAGAGCCCCTGGATGGAGCCCTACATCAGAATGAACACGGACCTGCGAAAGCTGGCCACCAGTGACTTCGAGAAAAACCTCTACAAGCTCATGAACAACTCGGTGTTCGGTAAGACTATAGAAATAACCTGAGGAAACGCGTGACCGTGAAGCTGGTTCGGTCGAAAGAGGAAGACAAGCTCAGGAAACTGATAGCCAGCCCGGCATTCAACCGGAGCAAGATATTCACCGACGACTTGGTGGCCCTGCACATGAAGAAAAGCCACATCAAATTCAACCGGCCTGTTTACATGGGGATGAGCATCCTCGATTTATCCAAACACCTGATGTACGACTTTTACTACAACGAGCTCAAGAAACAGTACGGCGCCAGGTGTGAAGTGCTGTACACTGACACTGATTCCCTGCTGATGGAGATTCAACCGAGGGCGTTAATGCGAGGACATGAAGAAACGCCGATTTGTACGACACCAGCGACTACCCCAAGGACCATGCCATACACAGCACAGTAAATAAAAAGGTCCTAGGTAAGATGAAGGACGAGTGTGCTGCCCATAGCTGAGTACATAGGCTTGAGGCCCAAGATGTACTCCATCCTGAAGGCCGACAATGGGGAGATCCGAAAGGCGAAGGGTGTTAAGAAGTACGTGGTGAAACAACACATCAAACACGCCAGATTCAAGGAAGCCCTGTTCAAGACCCGCACCTTCAGACATCAAATGAACGCGCTTAGAAGCGACGGGCACAGGATATACGGACTGACGATAAACAAGACGTCCCTATCACCGATGGATATGAAGCGTTGGATAGCCATCGACGGGATCAACACGTACGCGTACGGGCATGAGAAAATTGAACCAAGAACATAGGTGTATATATGTCGGGATGTCACGGAACCAGAGAAAGTTTGAGGCTATTTACTACAGCCCGCGTGGGTACTGGAAAGGAGCTAGGCGCCGTTACATAAGCTGGCCAAAATGGCTAAGTACCCCGGATCGAGGCCAAAGCGTGGCTTGAAAAACAAGCCCTGTGGCAGATCTATTTACCTGCACCACGCTACGTGCCTAGAAGAAAGTTCGGTATTACCGTACCCAATAGCGTCCACCAGGCCGACCTCCTGTTCCTACCCCATGACAGGAGGTACAAGTATGCCCTAACCGTCGTTTATGTTGCCAGCCGCTACAAGGAAGCCGAACCCTTGACCGCGAAAGACTCGGCCCAAGTAGCCCGCGGATTTCGAACGCATATACAAACGCAGTCCGCTGACATGGCCCACAGAGCTTCAAGTCGACCCCGGGCGGGAGTTCATGAGTGCCATGTCACAACTGCTAACCAAACACGATACCAAGGTCAGGCGTGGCGCGCTGCCGGGGCTCATTGCAGTCAAGCCATAGTTGAGAGATTCAATAGGACTTTGGCCGAGCGCTTATTCGGATACCAGCTGGGGGAACACGAAGGGGACACTCGGAAACAAGCCACCGATCCTATATGGTCAGTCAAAACTTACAACATAGATAAAGTGGACATCAAAGCCAACGAGCCGAACTTGTACTACTTGAAGGATGGGCCAGGGAGAGGTTTCGTTAGAGAGGAATTATTAGTCATACTGTACGGCACAATGTTGCCACCCAAGCAAAATATTTAACACTTACCAAGTAATCCCAATACTATCCTATCACCAACTGTTTCCTGTCGAAACGACATAGTGTCATATGATCAGGAAAGTGCTAGTTCGCGGTCATAGTGACACTATTGTGTCACGTGTGGCCGGGAAGTTAACTGGGGGTTAAAAACTGGTATATACAATAGCGGGGAGAGATAAGGGCCTGACAAAAGCTTTATTTAGTGAATGAAGCTTTACAGAGGCTTTTGTTGGACTTGATCTCGTACCGCTATTGTATATACTACTTGAGTTAAGGTGCAGACCTCATTTTATTTGGTATAAAGGAAAATGTAATAACTGATAGGGTTTTTGACTTGATGTTTAATTCTTTCAAAATGTTTTTCAATTATAAATGTAAATTAAAAAAGATATACCTATCTCTGAAGAATTTCCAATATGAATTAAAAATACATATACAATAGAAAAACAAATCTTTACTGATAAATGTGAACAAAATAAATTTTATTCGCAGTGGATGTTCTACCACTCATTGTTTCAAGACTCCAGTTAACTGATTTCAGAATACTGAATGTTCTTTTCTTTTCACCTATGAGTCCAGCCATGTCCATCCTTTATAATGTTATATTATGGTATATTTACCATATTTCTTGGTCAAGTGCAGACATGGGGTAATTGTAATTTGTAATTGTAATTTAATTAATTAATATCTCAATGAATTGAATTTTTCAATTACTTTTTCAATTACATCAAATTACATCTCACTTTTTTTATTTTGGTGGTCATCAGGCAACCCTTGCAATTATATTCTGTACATTAAGGAGGACAAAGCAGTGCTTTTCAATAAGATGCTTGTTGTCGGTATATACTCTAGCAGGTGTTCAGTTTTAAAAGAGATTTGAATGTCTGAGCCTTTGTAACTACCACCATCTGCACATTTGTGAAACAAAGGGAATCAGTAACGCATGCATGAATGTAGGTTATATTTCAGGAAATGAGGGATTAACTGTACTATTAGTCAAGTGGTTCAGGCTCATAACGCCGACCTTTCGACCAAACTTTACGGTTGAGTGAAATATAAAGGTCGACGTCCTGAGACTAGTTTCATTTTGCCATTTAATAATGGATTACGAGGACAATGCAGGATCAACGAGTTGTTAGAGGAGGATAATCCGGATTATGCGCATGAGAGCGCACCTAATGAGAAGATGACAACAGATGACAGATTTTTATCAGTTGACAGATTTTAGCATTTTTAATAAATACATCGTAAATTCATATAGCATACATTTTTTCACAGATTTTAACCTAAATGCAATAGGTGGGATGCTGAATCAGCAAACTGCCTCACGGACAGTGTTCCTTGTTCAAGCTGGTGACAAATGTCATCCATTCGTCGCTCCAAATCCCTGTATTTCCTCTTCTTGGACGGACGCTTATGGCCAGCGGCATACTGGACCAGCTTGTTTTCGGTGTTGGTCTGTTCTCGTGACAGCAACGACACAATCTCCAAAATGTTTGGATGAGCCTTGCCGACGTATTTCTTCATGCGTGAATGCCACCCTTCTAGGTGGTTGTTTGGCCCATCTGTGTTATGGTGGTTTCATTGCGTCATGTGCAGATCTCCCTCCACCCAGAAGTTGGTCATGTAGTCTCCGAGTTGTCGGCAGCGGTCTTCATCAGTCTTTTGCAGTACATATCCAAGATATCCAGTCTCGTTTTCTCTTGCTGACTCTGTACATGAACCCGAAAACAACCAAGTAACTACTGCTGCGAGCTGTAGGGATGAATCTCTGATCTAGCTGTGCATTTGCCATTTCGAAATCGAATGTGAATCCTTTGGCCATTCCATAGATATTTATACCAAAGATATAAACAATGTTCAATATTGGCACTCTGCTAAGTGTTATTGTAAACTTTTCAATCAATTGGAAGTGACATGTGCGACGAGTTCACCTTATCAAAACATCTAGAGTAGATTATCCGCAACGCTAATTAAGCCTAATCAGAACCTAACCTTCAAAGGAAACCGCAGGTCGACGTCCTGAGACTAGTGGAAAATTGAAAGGTTGGCGTCCTGAGACGACACCAGTCAAGTTCCTATCAAAATGGCCTCTTTGTTATTTCTCATAGCATATGATATTCAAAATCTTACTGAACTGTAGTCCTATTTTTATAATCATGAAATGTAATAAGTCATAAATCTAAGTTCACAAATCCTTTAGTATGTTAATGTGGATTATGTCAGATAGAGAGACCGGCAGATTTTATATTGTAATGTAGGCCTGTAATGATGAGTCATGATACAGTATACCTACGGTAGCAGTGGTGGACAGAGTGTTTTTTGCAACAAGTGATGATAGATGTGTGTATTTGATAATAAGCCCAAAGAAATATGCAAAAAACAAATCTGCTCAAATAGTGTACATTGTAGATACAATCTAATTTTGCATTTCACATTTTGATGGCAAAATTGTGAATTGGATTTAGTGACCACTGTTTACCAACATCTATATCTCGTTGATTAAAAGAAAACAGAAATGTAACTGTTTTGTTTTTGTTGTGTTTTTAACAAAGTAATTTGTAATTTAATTAATTACATTGGTAATGTAATTGTAATTTAATTAATTACATTTTAATTTAAGCTGTAATTGTAATTGTAATTGAGGAAAATCAAAGTAATTGTAATTTAATTAATTACATTTCAAAGTAATTGAACCCATGTCTGGTCAAGTGTGAATGAAAGTTGTGAAAAAATTCTATCTTAGCTTTGCTTGATAGGGCAAGGAATTCCCTGGGGTCCTTTGTCCCTACCTGTAACAGGGATTCAGTAATAAAATATCAATTACAAAAACAAATTAGTTCATGTGCTAACAACAATAATTGTATTGTAAACATCAATACCTGATAATGTTATGTTTGCATTGTAGGTGCAGACGTATCATTTGACATTGACCTGGATGATATTGACTTGGATGAGCTGGAGAAGCAGGTATGTTGTGAGTGTCACCTAGGGACAGGTCTCAGCCAATGTATCCCTTCAACATGTATGAATATATCTTATAGAAACTGTAGAACATTTGAATGTAGGCATTGTGTGTGAGTGTTCTCTGATCAGAACATTTCCTTTACAGCTAACACTCTCACCAAGTGCACAGCCCGTGGAGCTCAGTGATGGTAGGTTACATCTTCTTTACCTCAGCAGGAGTCTTGAACTATATTTCCTGACACTCAGATGAAGCAACCGCTTGTAAACCGAGATGCTTTGAGGTCTTGTCAGAAATTTACTACTGCCACCAAGTTTGTTTTGACAGCATGTGGTCCTGGCATATCATATGCAATATAATTCCTACCAATACAAAACCACTGTAACACATCATTGCCAGAAATCCTATATTTTGGTTTTGATCACACTCGAAAAATCTTCCGTCTTCTTCACTGTCCGCTACTGATAATAAGCTCTGCAAGTAATAGTATCTTGTTTCTCATGTGCATACAACAGATGGGAAAACCTCACTTTTATCCTTGCTTTTGCTTTTCTTTATTTCCTTCTATAGTGTAGGGTCAATGTCTAAAACATTTCAATCACCATGGAACATTTTTTTATGTTCTGCAATAGGTTTGCATTATGAAATTAATCATAGATAGATCCAATGCTTTTCATACACTTTCTTATTAACATACTGATTCTGGTACTTTAAGGGCGAGTCATAGTCAAAGTGAGTGATCTAACCCTATCAGCCACTGAGGCTTCCACACTAGTGACAGTCTGACAGCTGGTAGTCTAGATCACATGCTATGTAAGCCCCCTGACAAGTATAAGTTGGCATGCCTCCCATGGCTGAAGAACTTAAAATGCCACTTTTACCACTTTCCCAGCTTTCAGCCATGGGAGCCATGCCAATTTACACTTGTCTTTTAACTTGGAATTCTCCTTTGAACTCCAGTGGCATATGGAACTGAAATTGTGTAGCTCTGGTGTCTTAATTACTTACAAAGTTTGGTAATGTAAAGCTGAGCATATGGTAGTATTATCCTGTGGTAAACTCTGTATGTCCCACAATGAAGCACATGTGATACATGTGGTCTCACCTTGGGCAAGTGAGTTTGTTCAAACTTGCCTCTGTTCATCCAGCAGGAAATGGGTACCTGGTGAAATAAGTCGTGAGACTATTAACCTTCTAGCGCCTAACAGGCAGCTTGGGTTATTCGGGGTAATAATGATCAGACTGTGAGCTTTGAGCAGGATATCTAGCCTAGAAAAGGCGTGTTATAAATATTCTCATTAGGTCTTCAGACGAAAGTCAATATATCGCGTTCAATATATCATTTGAAAACCCACACTCCGGACTACTTAAACTCTTCAAGGCATATGGATATCTTGAATAGTTTAAGAGTTATCGCCCTTGGAAGTCAGTGAATTTTTAAAGACGCATTTTTATAGGGTTAAGAAAAAGGTCACAACTCTGCGAAAAATCTATGGATTCCATTTTTCTCAGTACCAACCTGTAGGTAATTGAATGAGAAACATTTTTGCTTCGCATCATGGTTATGTAAAAATCAATAATAACGTCACCATTACGACACAAACACAGCCTTCGCGATTTTGCACATTTCCGCACTTTTTTGACGGTGCCTGTGTTTAACAATCTTCTGCTCCTGAACGGCAAATAGTACAATGGTGTTCTATATATCGTTTTAAAGCCCACACACCGGACTACTTAGCTCGCTCAAGGCATGCCGATATCTTGAATAGTGTCGGAGTTATTGCCCTTGGAAGTTGGTCAATTTTTTGGCAAAACACATTTTTATAGGGGTCACAGCTCTGCGAAAAAACAATGGATTTCCTTTGTGAAGACACCAAACTGTAGATAATGAGATGGGGAACATTTTTGCTTCACATTATTATTATGTAAAAGTCAATAGTTACGCCACAATTACGCCACAAACAGGGAGGGACATTAGGATTTTCGCATTTTGTCAGTTATGAGAAAACTAACTGAAGGAAGCGGCGATTGTTGCTAGATTTTACTGTCGCTTCCTTCAGTTAGTTATCTCATCTCACAAGGAAGCGACAGTAAAATCTAGCCACAATCGCCGCTTCCTGGTTTTCAAGTGCCCACAGAAATAGTTCCCTCTTTAACAGGTCGTTACTCCGTTGTTCCTAGGTCTACAGTCAAAACAATTAGTGTTCTGGAATTGCCAGGATCTGGTCTCTCCAGCAGTGTGCTTACCAGCCTGACTGTGACAGGAATACGCTTGTCTTTTTGACCACAATATTTACCAGTAATCTCTTTTAGTATATGTCTGTAGATATTGCTGTATTATTTTGCTTTGTTTGACTGTGACTTCCTGTTTGTTTTTCTGCAGATTGTGAATTTTCCGTTTGTGTCAGCAGCATTGAATCAATGCCAAATTAATCTCAGGTTGGAACCCTGGCCTTTAACCGCACCACAGTAATTTTTTGAATGGTTGAGTTGAGTTGAGTTGAGTTGGGCTTTACGTCACACATAGGCATTATTCCAGCCAGCCATATAGTGATTAGAACAAGTCTGCATTAGTAGACATGGTAAGTACAGAGTCAAAATGAGTTTTATTTAAAAACATCTATTCATTACGTTGTCATTTAAAAACAGAAACAGTCATAGCACTAAATTTAAAAGCAGGCAATTTGTTAGTCACATCACACAGTTGCAATTTATCATACAGATAAACTTCCCTCAGGTTGTTCACTATCAGATGAGCGCTCACGCGGGGAGAACATATATCTCCTGTAAAGAGACTACCACTGCAAAGCGTGGTCCACGTGTAGATATGGGAGACGATGTCAATTTCAACGACAAATGTAATTGACAATGACAAGGAGCTGTCAAATCTGAGTTGGAACGTCATCCAATGCCCAAAGAAATAGCGTTACATCGGCATTATCCTAGCCATACAACGTCGAGAACAAGTTTGCATTAATAAACATTGTAAGTACAGAGTGAGATATGAGTTTTATTTCAAATTGTTTTTGAATGGGTGCTTAACAAATGCACTATATACACACATAAATCTATGGTTGTTTCACAAGTGCAGTATTTGCACATACGTGTATGCGTCATAGCTAGGATCACGGCGATTCCAGAACACTAATCAGTATGGACCGTAGACCCAAGGACAGCGGATCTACGGCCTGTTCAAGAGAGAACTATATCTTCTCCAGAACTACTTAAAAGGTACATGACCCCGCGACTCTGGCTGCATTTCACCGATCCGCTCCCGTGTGGAAAACGTGTTCTGCCTGGGTTTTGAACGCTTTCTAGTCCTTAAATACACTTCAAACACCCGTAACTCCGAGAGTTAAAATGGACGCTCCAGCTGGCGTCCAAAGAAACAGTACAAGTGAAGGTAGCCACGGAGGGGTGTATGGGGGAAGTCTGAAGACCGTCAGTATTGCCCAGGAGGCAATCCTAGTTATTATTTTTATTATTATAATATATGAGGTATACCCTGACTATGCGTATTGTTCTGTCATGAAACAGTTTGTGTTTACTCAGATGAGCTGAAGCAAGCAGTGTGGGATGGAGACTATGACCTTGTGAAGAGAGCCTTTGCTGCCCGCAAACTGTATGACATTGAGCAGGCTGATGACACTGGCACTACGCTGCTCATGCATGCCATCCTCAGAAGTAAGTCTGAAGCAACTTAAACACCATAACATTTAGTTGTTTGCTGCTGCACTAGAAACAGAATAGGATGTCACCATTCACAGAAATACTAGTAACCTTCAAAAATCATTCATATGACCATCACTACTACTCGACTGTCAGAAGTAATGTTGATGATGCACACCTAAGTCAGTGTTATCTGGCAGTTACTTACCAATATACTTTCCTGTTTGTACTTTCCCCAGATTTTGATGACATAGCAGAGGTGTTAGTCTGTAGTGGGGCCAAGATTAATACTCAACAGAAAAATGGAAACACAGCTCTCATGATTGCTGCAGAACAGGTTTGTGCATCCAATAATACACCTACTTTCTGCTGGTACATATATGGACAAAGCCATGAGAAGCAATCTCATCCTTACAAACAGATCTTTCACTCCAGTAGAATAAGTCCCTGTGTACATATTTTCGGACACTTCTGTGATTGCCCTACTTTCTACTTTTGTAATGTTTGGTTTTAGTTCATTTTCAAGATAGAGAAATCCAACATACTGGTATGAGTGTTTTACTCACTCCTTCGGAGGATATAGAAGCCTTGAATGTGTTTCACAGATTAGACATTCACCTGAATGATCTTCTCTGCTGGTGCCCTGGGATCTTCACACAGAGAGTATCATAATCTGAATGACGGGTGCTTCTTAGCTGGTGTAGACGTGGAAAATGGCTTTTCTTATGATGGTAGATTCTGGTAAAGGGATCAGGGACATTCATGTGATGTCTGCCGATCCAGCATTGACGATCTTTCACAAAGACTGGGTCAGTAGTTGCCTCTCAGATACTTACCGCCTTTGATCGATCACACTCTCCATGTGACAGCTCCTATCGAACTTCCTCTCCTTTCGAGCCTTTCAATCAAGGGACCTCTCCTTCAAGTGCTCACCTGTTTGATGTCTGCAAGGCTCTCAAGGTCTATATCAATTGACAAGAGTGATTTGTAAGGGTACCCAATTGCTCTGTTGCTAGATGGAAGGAATGCTGGGGAATGTCAGCAAGCTGACTATTTCACTGTCTTGATTCAGTTATCTGGTTTACAGTGCTAGGAATAAGCCTCCCCCTGAGGTGTTAAAGGCTCAGTGGATCAGGGCAGTTGCTACTTCTAAGACTTATGCAATGTCCCTTCCCATTGAAGAGATCTGTTCTGTCACTGTTTGGAGCCGGATTGGCAGTTTCATTCACCACTACCAACTTGACATGCATTCTAGGGATCAAGCTCAGTTCTGTCAGTCAGTTCATTATCACGCTTTGACACAGAAATGGGTACAAACCTCCCTGAGAGAAGCAAGTCACATGACGTAATGGTGGGTTAATATAAGTTTGACTATCCATTTTGCTGTTTTGAGGTTTTGAACACTAACAGAATTTCCCTCCTCCTGAGACCTAGGTCTTTGGGAGTCTGTGTTATTGCATGTATTTGCCCCAAGAAAGATCTTTCTTAACCACAATCAGCCAAACCCATAGGGGAAATCAGTTTGTTTAAAGAGAGTCTTCTTTGGGGTAGGACTCCCCACAATTCTGTTCTCTGATGTGTAGAAGGAATAATGAGAGATGGCATGGGTGCTCCTGCCAATCCTCATATTCAGATTAGGAGAGGTAACTCTGAATGTATAGGGTGAGGGCCACATTGTTGTCATACAACTGTCACAGGACATTTTCAGTAGCAGAAAAAGGATTTTACTGAGTTTCACCTTTCTGTTCTATTTGGTACTATTCATGCTGTCTGTGGACAAAGGTGTTTCCTGATAGAGAAAACAAGTACAACAATAAAAATGTTCATGTTCTGAGTGTAGAAGTATTTCAGTGAAACATATATTGCTAAAGAACCTGCTGATTGTTATAGGCTCATATCTGTACCGTGGCTTTGCTCCTTGAGATGGGAGCCAAGATAAACCTGCAACAGGCAAACGGGGAAACAGCACTCATGAAGGTAACTACAACATACAGTTCAAACTCTCTACAGTACCATTATGCAGCAACAGTTTCACCTTGCAATGAAATTTTGTGCATGTTTATACAGATTTGCTTTGTTCAACAGGCTGTGAAACGTGGGCACAGACAGATTGTGCGGTACCTTCTGGAAAGTGGTGCAAACTTCTCCTACCAGTCTTACAGTTGTTGTAGTGCTCTGTCATATGCCAAACTTCACAGGCTGCCAGATGTGGAGGATATAATTGTAGATCACATATCAAGGTTAGTTGCTGGTGCCTCATGTTTCTTCGGAAGATCCTCAGTATACAAAGTTTGTCTGATCATGGCTAGTTCATGATCCAAGGCATAGTGTCTGCTCTTCATGGTAAACAATAAGCCAGTGTTCTTGTACAGAGTACAGATAGAAGTCTGCTACTGAAACTGTTCACTTTCTATTGGCTTTCTTTAGAATAATGTGAATTAATTGATAGAAATGATATGACAAACCTTTAATAAAATTAAAATTCCAAAATTTTGTGGAAATGTTAAAATCTAAATTCTGTTTAATAAACTATCAGACACCTTAGACAGTTACATTTACTATGGATTGCAAGTAAATATAAATGTCTAGTTAACAGTGTTATCTTCATTCTAATGTGGCCACTCTTCCATGAAATGTAATGGGCTATGCCAAATACAGCATCTTCCGACCAATCATGTCAGGAGAACTAATGCTGACTGTAAAGCTTCCATGTGTGGATTTATAGGTTAATGTGGTCCTTTGAAAGTAAATATGTTATGTGCTAATTGCATATAAAACCTCACTGTTACTCTACTACTCTGTGTCATTGCTTGTTTGGGATTAGTTAAATTAGCTTTAGCATTGTCACACTGACACGTGCAATGTATTTATGTCATTTGTACCCAGATATAATTACATTGTTAGCCTTTCTAGTAGGCTTGTATTTAGCTAGTGATTTCAAAAGTCAAGATGAGATGTGCAGCTTATATCTTGTGTTGGCCAATTAGGGTATTATTATTTAGTAAATGGACGATCATGTGACTGGCCTTCGGGGTTTTTTTCCACATAAATATGACGTAAAGTTACAACTATAAAGAACTTGTTCAAAATGTTACCTATTATTTTACAGTTCAACCTTGAACAGCTCTATATAATAGGTGAGTGTGTGAGTGAGTTAAGTTTTACATTGCTGAGTGCGGGGTAAAACTTAACTCACTCACTCACACACTCACGTATTATATAGAGCTGTTCAAGGTTGAACTGTAAAATACAGAAGATTGAATGCTCTCAAAATTTATTTAAAGTAGTCACTTTCTTCTCAGTTGTTTGAACTCTCTATCCCTCATCCATTATGTCTCTTGGCTGATATGGTGACCAGTGTTTAAAAAGCTCTCATCTGTCTGGCTTATATGTTTGCAGACTGACAACAGAGTTTGACAGACAGGTGGCCATAACCCTGAACAACACAGCCCAGATCCTAAGTGCCCTGTTCCCTCTCCAGTGCTTCCCTCTAGCAGAGACTGATAAGTTTGTCATCACATTCAAGAACGAGGTGGAACCCATCACCCCAGGTTTGACCTCAATTAGTATTGACAGGAATGTTATGAATGCGACAAATATATTATCACGAATGTCACACATTCCACCATGACATGTTTGATTGTGTTTGGCCAAATAAGATTTGAAATTAAGTGTTAAATTCCATTTGATACCTCAAAACTAACATGCCTTTTTAGAAAAAAATTGTGCCTGTGGAATATCTCACTGTCAAAAGCTTGTACATAGATGTGAGGAACAGTAATTCTTGAGAATATATTACATCAAGTCAATAAATTCCTGTTTAGGCTGTTTATCACTCTATAAATTCTCATCAGACATCCTGTTGATTGCCAACATATATGCAGTAGTTGTGAGGAAAACTAGATTCCCCACTGAAAAATTCACTCCATGCAGGAGGAGGGAAACTGCCTTGTCCTTCCTTTGTGTCTGCATGTAAGCAAGTAAACATTTGTTAATCACATCTAGATATTTGTGTTAGTTATTCCGCACTATTCCTAAGCTTCACTGATGTCTTCTGATGGACAAGACAGACAAGGTGAGAGAAGTCTACAGTAGATTGGGGGTGTAGAAGAATGAACATTATACTAAGAAAGTAGTAACGAATCCTCTATGTGGTGAACAAAGTAGATATCACAAATATTGAGTAATGAATATGAATACTGGGTAACAAATACAATAACATGGTTGATGCATTACTCATTATGCTCATTGAAACAAGAACAAAATATATTTTTGGACATGTTTTGACCGTGTTGACAGTGTTAATTTATGACTATCAGTAACCAAATGACTATCAAATTCAATATATAAGAGTGTTGACTTTTATCCTGCCTGGCTTGGATATTCCATTTTGCATATCTCGCTTTGATAAATAACACTGAATGTGTGGGTGAATTGTAACAGCCCTATTAACATAATGTACTGAGGGAAATGAATATGGGTACGCTTACTTCTTAAGGTGAAAAGGCGGTGTTGTTCCAAATGTTTAAGGAACAATTTATCCATAATGCTTTGAAAATATTGCCCCCAATTGCATCCTCAGGGGTCATTTTTCACAAGCAATTTAAGCATGAGAACAATTTTTAATATGACAGATCCATGAATTCGCAAGACGTTCAAAACCTTAAAATAATGCCACGTCGATTCCTTTCTGAAAACAAGAAATGGCAGGCAATCAGGACCATCAATGGTGGGATATCAATTTGTCAGACAGCAAGAGACTTTAACAAGTCAAAAAGTGTGCTATCGCGACTGTGGAACTTATACCGCCAGACAGGCGATGTTAAGATAAGACGTGGTCGTCGTCCCAACAAAAAAACGTCAGCACGTGAAGATCGTCATTTACTGGCGATTTCCTTGCGAAACCAGTTCAAATCAGCTTCGAAAATATTGGACACCTTTGGTAGCTTCTTGGACGTCGTGTCAGATCCGACAATGTACAGTCACACACAAGGTACGCCATGTTCCAAGCTCTCCAAGAGGAGTGGCACGCTATTGACCCAAAGTGTCCTACGTCGATGTTAAGAAGTGATCCAGAGGCATGGGGGACGCACCAGATACTGACAATTCAATTGTAGTGTGTGTGACCTTTTAACATTGCTTTCACAAAGTCCACTGTCAATAAAACATTTTTGTCCATATACACATGCGCTCCCTTATTCATTTCCCTCAGTATATGTAATGCTGTATATGTAGGAGATGACGCCATCATCTTAATCACTGTCATACCGAAAGACGTTAAAATATGGTACTTGTTGGTCCCTGCCTGGCTCTCGGCATAAATGGGTAAATCAAGGACTGGTCGGCTCGGAGTCAGTACAATGTGTCTGAGTGGGGTATTCATGCTTCACTGTGGCATGGTATCTCAGTGGGCTAGCACTATAAAACCAGCTTCAGTCTGGGCTAGTACAAGCAGCCGCACATACACATACACATACACATACACATACACATACACATACACATACACATACACATACACATACACATACACACACATGCACGTCGTCATATGAGCGAAATATTCTCAAGCACAACGTTAAACCCGATTCACCTCACCTCATCTTAATCACTGGCATTTGCTCAGTCAAGTCCTCAGTGATCCACACCCTAGATGCAAGTCAAGCAAGAAGGTTATACAAAAGGAAACATCTGAATTACAGCCAAAATAGTCATACAGTAACAAGGCGTTTCTGATGATATGTTGGTCAAACACAGTACAATGACAGTATTGTTTACCATGATATGTTGGTCAAACACAGTACAATGACAGTATTGTTTACCATGATGTGTTTGTCAAACACAGTACAATGACAGTATTGTTTACCATGATGTGTTGGTCAAACACAGTACAATGACAGTATTGTTTACCATGATATGTTGGTCAAACACAGTACAATGACAGTATTGTTTACCATGATGTGTTGGTCAAACACAGTACAATGACAGTATTGTTTACCATGATATGTTGGTCAAACACAGTACAATGACAGTATTGTTTACCATGATGTGTTGGTCAAACACAGTACAATGACAGTATTGTTTACCATGATATGTTGGTCAAACACAGTACAATGACAGTATTGTTTACCATGATCTGTTAGTCAGACACAGTACAATGATAGTATTGTTTACCATGACCTGTTGGTCAAACACAGTATAATGATAGTATTGTTTACCATGATGTGTTGGTCAAACACAGTACAATGATAGTATTGACAGTATTGTTTACCATGATATGTTAGTCAGACACAGTACAATGACAGTATTGTTTACCATGATATGTTAGTCAGACACAGTACAATGACAGTATTGTTCACCATGATGTGTTGGTCAAACACAGTACAATGACAGTATTGTTCACCATGATATGTTAGTCAGACACAGTACAAAGACAGTATTGTTATCCCCCGCAATGCGTTTTGCGGGTTTTTTAAAATGGACTCCGTCCGTGTGTGCATGCGTGGTGCGTCCGTCCGTGCACATTTGTCTTTTCCGGTGCAGAACTCTAAAACCGTTCACTATTTCTTCACCAAACTTGGCACATAGATAGATGTGGTGGTGTACTGGTGCCTTTTGGTAGTTTTGGAATTCTGAATAAAATATTTTTGGCGTTTCCGTGGCAACAAGTTTGACTTAGCCTGAAATTGGTGGTAGTACACTTTTCCGGAGCTGAACTCTAAAACCGTTCACTATTTCTTCACCAAACTTGGCACATAGATTGGTCTGGTGGTGTACTGGTGCCTTTTGGTAGTTTTGGAATTCTGAATAAAATATTTTTGGCATTTCCATGGCAACAAGTTTGACCTAGACTGAAATTGGTGGTAGTACACTTTTCCGGAGCAGAACTCTAAAACCGTTCTCTATTTCTTCACCAAACTTGGCACATAGATAGATGTGGTGGTGTACTGGTGCCTTTTGGTAGTTTTGGAATTCTGAATAAAATATTTTTGGCATTTCCATGGCAATAAGTTTGACTAAAACAGAAATGATAGTATTATTTACCATGATGTGTTGGTCAAACACAGTACAATGATAGGATTGTTTACCATGATATGTTGGTCAGACACAGTACCATGTACTTTTATGTGTTGGTCAGGTGTTGGATTCCTGCTGTTCATTGCACATGCAAGAATAACCCCCCATGAAGTGAAGTGCCGCTTTTATGGACCATGTGCAGTCAAGTCTGTGTTCCTAAATGGTGTCAAGCAGCCATCCATGACAGAGGTAAGATGCTACACACACCTTTGCCTTCAACAAGTGTCACAGTTTAGTCTCAGTCTAGCCTATTGAGAGTAAAAATATTTGGTAAATACCTGTTGGGTAACTGATCATTCGTGAAAGGAGTTACATGGTATCTAGTCATTGTCAGTGACCCATGTATAAGGTCTAGGTCACAGAATACCATTCATGACGTTTGTTTAACTGTTTCACAAGAATGTCTTCCTGCAGATGTTTGAAATCTTGTTAAATTGGTAGTTTTACCTTGAAGCCAGGAAATATTTTCAATATACAATACTTTTGTACACAGCCTGAATGTACCAGGATGCTCCTGTGGAACCTGCTTACAACTTACTGTTTGAATGTCTCACATTATGCAAGAAGTTTATTAAGTATACACTGTTTCTTTCAATCAAAAGAGACCCGAGTTTGTTCCCTGGTGACATGTATTGTATGAATCTAATTTCATTATCAAAATGAATATGATATATAAAGTCCATAAAGGCCTGCAAACATGTCCTTGAAGTTCAGTAGATTTTGCAGTGACAAAAATGTCACAGTAGCCCAGTTATATCTGCAATGTACACCTGCTCTCGCATATGTCTATATGTACTTTGTATACTTGATTTGGGAACATTTTCTTTCCTCCTTCTTTCTTGTTTAATTCTTTTTATCCCCCCGGCATGTAATGCGGGGGGATATAGTCGACGCCTCGTCCGTCTGTCCGTCCGTATCATTTTGTTCCAGAGCATAACTCAACAAAAATGGTAGATATAACAAACAGAACCTAAGGTGGTGCCATTTGCTATTTACAGACTTTTGGCATTTTTATTTTTCCCGGTTTCCATGGAAACGTAGTGGACTTAGTCTTAAAGGGAGGGTGGGCTTCGTTTCCGGAGCATAACTCAAAAACCGTTCGATATATTTCAACAAAACTAGGTAGATATATCAAACAAAACCTTAAGTGGTGCATTTTGCTATTTGCACAGTTTTGGCATATTTATTTTTCCCGGTTTCCCTGGAAATGATTCAGACTTAGTCCCAAAAGGGAGGGGTGGGCTTCGTTTCCGGAGCAGAACTCGAAAACTTCTTAATATCTTTCACCAAAACACGGCAGATATGTGAGGCAGATGCCAAAGTGGTGCCTTTTGATATTTGCAGATTTTTGTGATTTATTATTTTCTCGGTTTCTATGGAAACGATTCAGACTTAGTCCCAAAAGGGAGGGGTGGGCTTCGTTTCCGGAGCACAACTGGAAAACTTCTTAATATCTTTCAGCAAAACTTGGCAGATATGTGAGGCAGATCACAAAGTGGTGCCTTTTACTATTTCGGATTTTTGTGATTTATTATTTTCTCGGTTTCCATGGAAACGATTCAGACTTAGTCTCAAAAGGGAGGGGTGGGTTTCGTTTCCGGACCACAACTGGAAAACTTCTTAATATCTTTCAGCAAAACTTGGCAGATATGTGAGGCAGGTGCCAGATTGGTGCCTTTTGCTATTTGGCAGATTTTTGGCATATTTATTTTTCCGGGTTTCCATGGATACGATTAGGACTTAGTCCCAAAAGGGAGGGGTGGGCTTCATTTCCAGTGCACGACTCGAAAAGCGTTCAGTATCTTTCAACAGAACTTGGCAAATATATATAAGGCAAATTTTGAAATGGTGCCTTTTGCTGTTTACAGATTTTTGGCGTTTACATTTCTCATGATTTCCCTGGAAACGATTTGGACTTGGTTTTTAAAAAAAGTAAAGCTGGACTTTAAGTAACTGTCAGATGATTTGTTCTTTCTAATATGTGGGGGCCGGGGGGATATGTCATCTTCTGATGACTCTTGTTTTTTTCTTCTCTTTTCTATTCTCTTCTGTTTTTATTTATTTGTTTCTTTTTTTGTTTTTCTTTAAAAAAAGAAGAAAGTTGTACGCATTTGAAGGGTGGACACTTATCATCACAGACATAGCAATATATTAATTTCATAAAATGTGCTGTCATAAATAAAAAAAATGTCACAGTAGTTATGTTTTGAAGTCTTTGTAATGTCATTATGATATAATACCTTGACCATTGAACATTGGAAAGTGTTTTTATCCCCCTCAATGCGTTTTGCGGGGTATTAAAATGGACTCTGTCCGTGCGTCCGTCCTTCCGTCCGTCCATGCACATTTGTCTTTTCCGGAGCAGAACTCTAAAACCGTTCGATATTTCTTCACCAAACTTGGCACATACATGGATCTGGTGATGTACTGGTGCCTTTTGGTAGTTTTGGATTTCTGAATTAAATATTTTTGGTGTTTCCATGGCAACAAGTTCGACTTTGACTGAAATTAGTGGTAGTGCTCTTTTCCGGAGAAGAACTCTGAAACCGTTCAATATTTCTTCACCAAACTTGGCACATAGATAGATGTGGTGGTGTACTGGTGCCTTTTGGTAGTTTTGGAATTGTGAATAAAATATTTTGGCATTTCCATGGCAACAAGTTTGACTTAGCCTGAAATTGTGGTAGTGCTCTTTTCCGGAGCAGAACTCTAAAACCGTTCACTATTTCTTCACCAAACTTGGCACATAGATAGATGTGGTGGTGTACTGGTGCCTTTTGGTAGTTTTGGAATTCTGAATAAAATATTTTTAGCGTTTCCATGGCAACAATTTCGACTTAGCCTGAAATTGGTGGTTGTGCTCTTTTCCGGAGCAGAACTCTAAAACCGTTCACTATTTCTTCACCAAACTTGGCACATAGATAGATGTGGTGGTGTACTGGTGCCTTTTGGTAGTTTTGGAATTCTGAATAAAATATTTTTGGCATTTCCATGGCAACAAGTTTGACTTAGCCTGAAATTGGTGGTAGTGCTGCTTTCTGGAGCAGAACTCTAAAACCGTTCATATTTCTTCACCAAACTTGGCACATAGATAGATCTGGTGGTGTACTGGTGCCTTTTGGTAGTTTTGGAATTCTGAATAAAATATTTTTGGCGTTTCCATGGCAACAAGTTTGACTTAGCCTGAAATTGGTGGTTGTGCTCTTTTCCGAGCAGAACTCTAAAACCGTTCACTATTTCTTCACCAAACTTGGCACATAGATAGATCTGGTGGTGTACTGGTGCCTTTTGGTAGTTTTGGAATTCTGAATAAAATATTTTGGCATTTCCATGGCAACAAGTTTGACTTAGCCTGAAATTGGTGATAGTGCTGCTTTCTGGTGCAGAACTTTAAAAACCTTTCAATACTCTCCTTCCACTTTTCTATATACACACCTAAATATTTGACATAATCATAACTCGTAGACATAATCATGAAGAGTATTTTGCCATTGCGGGGGATATTGATGACTTTGTCTTCTTGTTAGTGTTTATTATCCCACGGCATGGAGTCTTTATGGGATATAGTCGCCGCCTCGAATCCGTCCGTCCGTAATCATTTTCAGTTTCCGAGCAGAACTCAAAGACTGCTTCGATATTTTTTCACCAAACTTGGCACATACATGGATCTGGTGATGTACTGGTGCCTTTTGGTAGTTTTGGATTTCTGAATTAAATATTTTTTGTGTTTCCATGGCAACAAGTTTGACTTTGACTGAAATTAGTGGTAGTGCTCTTTTCCGAGCAGAACTCTAAAACCGCTCAATATTTCTTCACCAAACTTGGCACATAGATAGATCTGGTGGTGTACTGGTGCCTTTTGGTAGTTTTGGAATTCTGAATAAAATATTTTTGGCATTTCCATGGCAACAAGTTTGACTTTAGCCTGAAATTGGTGGTAGTGCTCTTTTTCCCGAGCAGAACTCTAAAACCGCTCACTATTTCTTCACCAAACTTGGCACATAGATAGATCTGGTGGTGTACTGGTGCCTTTTGGTAGTTTTGGAATTCTGAATAAAATATTTTTGGCGCTTCCATGGCAACAAGTTTGACTTAGACTGAAATTGGTGGTAGTGCTCTTTTCCGAGCAGAACTCTAAAACCGTTCAATATTTCTTCACCAAACTTGGCACATAGATAGATCTGGTGGTGTACTGGTGCCTTTTGGTAGTTTTGGAATTTTGAATAAAATATTTTTGGCGCTTCATGGCAACAAGTTCGACTTAGCCTGAAATTGGTGGTTGTGCTCTTTCCTCGAGCAGAACTCTAAAACCGTTCACTATTTCTTCACCAAACTTGGCACATAGATAGATCTGGTGGTGTACTGGTGCCTTTGGTAGTTTTGGAATTCTGAATAAAATATTTTTGGCGCTTCCATGGCAAACAAGTTTGACTTAGCCTGAAATTGGTGGTAGTGCTCTTTTCCGGAGCAGAACTCTAAAACCGTTCACTATTTCTTCACCAAACTTGGCACATAGATAGATCTGGTGGTGTACTGGTGCCTTTTGGTAGTTTTGGAATTCTGAATAAAATATTTTTGGCGTTTCCATGGCAACAAGTTTGACTTAGCCTGAAATTGGTGGTAGTGCTCTTTTCCGAGCAGAACTCTAAAACCGCTTCAATATTTCTTCACCAAACTTGGCACATAGATAGATCTGGTGGTGTACTGGTGCCTTTTGGTAGTTTTGGAATTCTGAATAAAATATTTTTGGCGCCTCCATGGCAACAAGTTTGACTTAGATTGAAATTGGTGGTTGTGCTCTTTTCCGGAGCAGAACTCTAAAACCGTTCACTATTTCTTCACCAAACTTGGCACATAGATAGATCTGGTGGTGTACTGGTGCCTTTTGGTAGTTTTGGAATTCTGAATAAAATATTTTTGGCATTTCCATGGCAACAAGTTTGACTTAGCCTGAAATTGGTGGTTGTGCTCTTTTCCAGAGCAGAACTCTAAAACCGTTCACTATTTCTTCACCAAACTTGGCACATAGATAGATCTGGTGGTGTACTGGTGCCTTTTGGTAGTTTTGGAATTCTGAATAAAATATTTTGGCATTTCCATGGCAACAAGTTTGACTTAGCCTGAAATTGGTGATAGTGCTGCTTTCTGGAGCAGAACTTTAAAAACCTTTCAATTCTCTCCTTCCACTTTTCTATATACACACCTAAATATTTGACATAATCATAACTCGTAGACATAATCATGAAGAGTATTTTGCCATTGCGGGGGATATTGATGACTTTGTCTTCTTGTTGGTTTCCATGGAAACGCTTTTGGACTTAGTCTTAAAGAAGGGGTGGGCTTCATTTCCGGAGCACAACTCAAAAACCGTTATAATATTTTTCAACAAAACTTGGTAGATATATCAAACACATCCTAAAGTTGTGCCTTTTGCTATTTGCAGATTTTTGTCATTTTTATTTTTCCCTGGTTTTCCTTGGAAGCGATTCGGACTTAGTCCCAAAAGTGAGGGTGGGCTTCGTTTCCGGAGCACAACTCGAAAACTTCTCAATGTCTTTCAGCAAAACTTGGCAGATATGTGAGGCAGATCCCAAAGTGGTGCCTTTTGATATTTGCAGATATTTGTGATTTATTATTTTTTTTGGTTTCCATGGAAATGATCGTGACTTAGTCTCAAAGGAAGGGGTGGGTTTCGTTTCGAGGAGCATAACTCAAGAACCATTCAATATTTTTCAACAAGACTTGGTAGATATATCAAAACAGAACCTTAAGTGGTGCCTTTTGCCATTTACAGATTTTTAGCATTTTTACTTTTCCCCGTTTCCATGGAAACGATTCGGACTTAGTTGCAAAAGTGAGGGGTGGGCTTCGTTTCCGGAGCATAACTCAAGAACCGTTCAATATTTTTCAACAAAACTTGGTAGATGTATGAAACAGAACCTTAAGTGGTGCCTTTTGCTATTTGCAGATTTTTGGCATTTTTATTTTTCTTGATTTCCATGGAAACATTTTGGACTTAGTCTCAAAAAGTAAGGATTGCTTTCATTTCCGGAGCACAACTCAAAAACCGTATAATATTTTTCAACAAAACTTGGTAGATATATCAAACACATCCTAAAGTTGTGCCTTTTGCTATTTGCAGATTTTTGGCATTTTTATTTTTCCCGGTTTCCTTGGAAACGATTCGGACTTAGTCCCAAAAGTGAGGGGTGGGCTTCGTTTCCGGAGCACAACTCAAAAACTTCTCTATATCTTTCAGCAGAACTTGGCAGATATGTGAGGCAGATCCCAAAGTGGTGCCTTTTGCTATTTGCAGATTTTTGTCATTTATTTTTTCATGATTTCCATGGAAACGATTTGCACTTAGTCTAAAATCAAGCTGGACTTTAAGTAACTGTCAGATGATTTGTTCTTTCAAAGATGTGGAGGCCGGGGGGATATGTCATCTTCTGATGACTCTTGTTATACACATCATAGAAAGATAACTATAATCAGAATGGCATGTTACTTCTTCATTGCCTTATTTTTGCTTAACTTTATTGATGAAATATTTGTATTTCATAAATGTGCACTGCAAATAAATTGCCATATAGCATATACCAAGTATTACATTATTAATAACTATATGATGCTTCAATTGTAATGTTTAAGATGCTTATTTGTAATGTGTGAGAAAAGCCATTAGTAAAGTCAGTAATGTTTCTTCATAACTAACTTTTATTGTGGGTAACAGGAATGACATCAAGGTACAAAAGGGACAAAAACTTTCAAATTGAGTTGAAGTAAGGAAGGCTGAACATTTGTATTTCTTATGAAACTTCTACCTATGTTTCATCATTGCCACAATTTCTGTATTTTGGCTGCAATCACACTAAAACTTTTTAGGCAGAAATAATCTTCACTGTCAACTGTACATAACAAGTTGTTCCCGCAGCATCACTATCAGACAACAGCTTTCCTGTGCACAGGGGTGTGTTTTCATCTCTTGGAAACTTTATGTATTGCGTGCTGTCCTGAAATGAGCACAATGATATATATATTACAACATTATGTCAGTAAATTGACGGTGGGAGAGTGACAACAGTCAATGTAGACAACAGTCACACATTATTTCTCTTTGCCTTTTGCCATAATCCATCAGTCTGCCCACTGGACGAACTGCTCTTTATCAGAGTGCAGCTACTTTAACCCTGCTCTACAAGTAGTCTTGTATGTTTTGAATCTATACGGCTGGTGGAGAGATGTACACACTACAAGAAAATTTAACATGGTGACATGTGTGACATATCTTGACTGAATCCAAACATTTTAAATTGGGAAAATGGAAGCAAGTCACAGAGGCCTACCAGCTCAAATGATGGAAATAGATCTTGCTAACATTGCGTCTTGGCTAAATTGGTGTTATGACAGAAGTTTCTCCAACTTGTAAAATGTTCAAGCTATGTGCTAGTTAGAGAACTGATTTTCAGTATCTCTGACTATTGTTTTGATACAAATAACACTTATCCCAGTAGTTGCTCCAGATACACAATGGTTCATTCGGACTTGATTAAAAAGAGTGACACCATGTTTGTTTGTGAACACTGAAAGTAGTATGTACCTGACCTTTCATATTTGCATCTGTATATGAATATGGGAATTTGTACCTAGTAAGGCCAGACCAATTTTATTTCTTGTTTTACGGATCTGCCTATCATATTTTTTTCAAGAATAAGGAAAAAAATAAATAATAATTTTCCCCGCCCAAAAAATAAAATGCTAATGTTTTTATTGGAAAAAAAATGTAAATATGTTTTTAGATTGCTTTTTGCCCCATATACACTTCATAAATTGCCAAAAGTAAAATACTTTTAGTATTTAGAAGGAATATTACTTTGATTGGTGATTATATGTTTATTTTTCCCTCCTGCCTTTAGGTTTTCTGAGGACATAACTTTGTAAAACAAGAAATAAAATTGGTTTGGCCTAAAGAGTAATAATTAGTGGCATTGTGGTACTTGATGAGAGGAACAGACTGCCACCATATAGCTGGAATATTCCTGAGTGCGGCGTAAAACTAAACTCACTCACTCACTTGATGAGAGGAAGTGTATTTTTTGCAGGAGGCCAACTTTGTCCTGTCTTGCCATCCAGTTCTGCCAGGGAAGAATGAACTGTGTATACACACTGAATCTGCTGTCTCTTCCAAGGTGAGAAGTATATGATCCTTAATAGTACTTGCTTACATCACTGATGATGACAATGCTTTACACTCACCTCAGATAACTTGACGTATGTTCTGACATTCGCGGGAATGTTTTTCAGGCCAAGCTGGTGGTGTGCGCTTACAAGGCACAGCTCATACAGTGAGGACCACATGCACATCATCTGCGTTTATATTTCTGCTGGGCATTCAAAAGGAAGCTGTTACAACAGGCATATATAGCAATACAAGGTCATATGTTAAACACCTTTGTATTCCACTAGCAGCTTTCCCCTCAGCCTATATCATTGCTGTGTTCATCTCCTGCTGGGAAACATCCTTCGTCTGATCTCACTGTGTCACGTGACATCATAGGTGTCTGTTGATGGGCAGATGACGCACGGTGTGTTTTGAAGCTTATAGTCATAAAGTTAATTGTTACTGCAAAGCTTGAGATTATGAAGGCACATTTGAACTGTTTGTGCAGAATTTGACAATTGATTCCAAATATTTTGCCAGATGAAAGTTCCAACATTCATCATTTGAAAGTGAAATACTTAAATGCCTGGAGTTTTTGGTGACTGTTGTGCTGAGACTCCTGTCTTAGAGCATGGGAAGATAACTTCCCTTGTATGACAGTTCAGAGGTGTCAAATTTTGTACACGTCACATGTGTAGGATTTGTTCTTATAACAGCAGGTTTTCTGTCTATTCCTGAGGTTGATTTTGTGATATACAGCTAGTAGTGAGGATGTAGTGAGTTGCTTTGCAATGTTATGAAGTTGTTATTTATGAATATGTAACAGACCTGTTCCTGGATGATGTCACAAATAGTATATATAGAGTTCCTATCAAATTATTATGCTATAATCTATACAAGTAGTATTGGTAGTGCAGATGGCTACAACCTGAATGAGTCTTTCAGTTGATGTATTTATAACAAATTGGAATGGTACAATCTCCACTGTTGTGTGGAGATTGTTTAAGTTCAAACCAAACAAGATGTAAAGTAACATTTACTTATTTGATTTTGAGATTTCAGATCATGATGAATTTATTTGCCTTTTCTATATGTAAATCTTGAAAGATTTTGAAAGGATCTTCCTGTCTGAAAATATTGAAAAGGTTTTGATTAATATCTAAATATTAGTGTAATATGGCCTAATTTATTGTGTATGTTCTGAGATTTGTCTATTGGCCAATGATCTACATTGGTAAAAGTGAAAGTGGTCTGTCTTAGTTGTTTGGATGTCTTTTGTTAAAACAAACTAAACACCATCTCCATTTTGCTACCCTGTATTACATGGGGTCATCTTAGAAAAGCATAATAGTGTGGCTATCTTAGAGCCTGATGTTTTCTACATACACCTGGTGATGTTTACACCACAGGTTTCATAGTAATCATTTGTTAAATCCTCAAAGTTTGTCTTTATAAAACAAGTATGAAGAAGTTAAATACAGCAACATCCAATTAATCAGTATTAAAACTTTCTAATTAAGGAATCATGTGTACAGAGAAATACCCGTTGTTTTTCATTACAAACAGTGATAGTCCAGACTTAAAACCTCTGAACTGACCTGTTTGAGTGTATTTGTATAAATATTTATATCAGCAGTTCATCAAACAGCTTGTGCTGTATGTTGTGAGTTGTGTGCCAACCTTGAGAGTGTTGTCCTGTGTTTGTAACAGCGTGTTGGTTTACATGTAGTGTGGGCCACTCCTCCCTAGACAGGACAGGCTGCTCTGTGGAACCCCAAACATTGCTGGGTACCTGCCACCAGTGAGACTAGTCACTACAGTCTCCTCCACTTGCTGTGTCGTAACAGGGTCACAAGATGCTCATCTTCTGGATTGTTTCCTCTTGGCAGTGTCCCACATGGAAATATCAGTCTTTGTTTCTCATAATAGAGTATGAACATTTTGCATTGCATTTACGTTTTGTAACCTTTATAATGTATTCTACATTACATCTTTCTACATCAAAAGTTGTTACTTTTTGAAGATATTGTGTTATTGAATTGACAGTAACAGTCGAAACCTCTCATTCTATATTCATAATGCTTTAATATGTTATCATAACAACAGTAGGTTTTCTAAAAAGATGTCTTACGACTGCTATTTTCATACTTTTATACTTGACCCTTGTGTTGTGTGTTGTTATGGGATTGACCAGCTTCCATTGAGACACACCAGTCATCACCTAGGATATCCAACATTTTTCTCTTGATCACATACCAAAGGCATCATTAATGTAGTGGAGTCATACTGGCTCATCTTGCAGCAGTGTTTTACCCAGTTGATAATGTGAAACAGTAAACAAGTGTAATGTAGCACATCAGAGATATCTTCCACAGGACATTTTGAAAGTTCTATAGAGATGCTATAGTTCTGCCAAATGTACATGTTGGTAGTTTTATGCCCATCGTAATCAATGTTCCAAACCCAGGTTTTACAGAAACAAAACAAGCTAATAATGGTGTTTGGGCTGACATATATTATTGACAAAAAGCATTACCTCAAATGCACATTTTGATTTAAATAGGATGTTGTAGCTCAGGTCAAATGAATGTTCATGTATGGTTTTGTCATCGCATTTTGCCCATTATGTATGTTCTTGTCATGAATTGTAGGAAATCGACTTCTCTGTTGAAGCCATAAGGCTACGAACATGACACTTTGCTGATGATCAAATCAGTGATTCTCACACAACTATCTTCCTGTGGTAGGCATACATTTCTCCAAGCTGAAGATAATTGTATGAGACTGGACAATGCTGGTGGGATGGTAGATTTCTAGAACTTCTAGTAACAGGAATGGTGGTGAATGGACTGCTGTAAGCACAACACTTTGGGAAATGATCTCAGCTGGAAGCCAGGTTCATTGTAGGGTGTAGCTGCTTACAGTGGGTATTCTTGATGAATATAATATGTGTTGTCATAATGTATCTGTGTAACTGTTAGCTGCCTTGTTTGTGTAATGAGATCCTACCTGCAACTGGGAGGAAAGTGTTACAAAATCTAATTTTGTATAGTGCAGTGTCATATTAGTGAGACAAGGCAGCACTGCAGATCGCTTTTATCGCAAATAGGTACAATGGCTTAAATGTTACCAGCATAGTTTTATTACAACCCTTCAGCAGCCCCATGAAATGTGACTGCTTTTAGCTTTCGTTGGAATTTGGTCTCCGCCACTGCAGTTTTTATTTAATGACAAATACTCAAATATGCTTTACATCAGCGATTACTCTTGTGTTGACTTTAAAATGGGTAATGGGATAGCCAAAACTCACAAAATGTTTGGATTAAACTTCTGTATACTTAGGTTGGGGAAAAGATTAGTCAACGGAGGAGTGCATCATTCAACTATTTGTTAGACATGGTTACCTCATTGTTACTAAATTGACATGTGTCAGAGGCAAGTTTTCAAAATTGTCTGCTGTATCTGTTACATAGTCTGTCATAGGAGCTATTAAAAATATCTTTGTAAACTGTCTGAAATGTTCATATATTTACAAATTATACAGCCATTTGCCAGAATCACGTTTTACAGAAGTGGCACACAGAGATTATATATATGCCTGATTGTGTAAAGCAATGGATATCCAGAGCCTGTTCTGTAAGGTACTGTATGGTTCTGATTGCAGGTTAATGTTTAAGAGTTCGCTTCACATTTTCAGTGATATCACTGATATTTCCAGACTGGGTGTGGTCAGTTCATTGGATGAGTGTGATATTTCTACAGGGTGTACATGTTGTTGCAACTACCAGACATTAGTGCTCTTCAGTGAATATATAGCCTCAGACAGTTCAGTTTGGAACTTTACACACACAGCAACAAGAAGTTCAAAACACAAGAACTCCAAACAAACTTTCTGATATTCACCTACCACAAGCTCTGTAACCACAAGTTTAGACCTGTGTTGAGCTGGCCAAAGTTCTTATGTGAATGAATTTTGAGAGGAGATTGCTGTTTTCTTTTAAGCTAAGTGTATATGATAGGTAACCATTATTAACCTTAGTATTGTCATCTTTGATGGTTTTATTGTGATGACTGGTGATAGGATGATCTAATAGCCTGTGACAACTTCCTTTAGTGGCTCTCTACAGACTTGGGCTGTAACCATACGTCACTGTCAGCAGTCTTTCTTCTACTTGTTCGGACATGGTTTTCGGTCCTCTTTAGAACATCTTGAGAAATGTACCTACTGACAATATGTTTATCAATTTCACAACCAATTTAGCTTTCAGAGTTTAAATTTATCATAACTTGTTTCTGGTAAGTGGTAAAATGTTTGCTCCATGAGCCAAAACACTGAAGCAGCCAACTAGCAGCAGAGAGTAATTCCCACTTTTGTGGACAAAACACTATAGATAGTACAGCAGATTGGCTACCTGTAACGTTTTATCCCACCATATAAATCCTAGGGCTAACAATGTTCAGCTGAATGTCATCTTTGAGGCAATACGGAAACATGGCTGAACCATATATTGCCAGTTACTGTTGTATTTTTCAGGGTTTTTTCTGTTCTCAGGCTGGGATAATTGTTCGATCTTAAGAAGTTGGCTTAATAAGGGCCATGATCTGGAAGTCTTCAGACTGGAGGCACTTTAAGACTTTATACTTTGAGGGATGTCTATGATACCCATGTGGCACCATGGTATCCTTTGTCTTTCTTCTTTAACTGTAATCTTAAAGTGTAAGAAGCTGAAACACATCTTGCATTCAACAAATTACACAACACATCTCATTTAATAAAGATTCACATTTGTGACTCTAATAGCAAGCACTATCTTTATTTGATAGCTTGGTTAATCTATCTAGTGAGCAGTAGTGCCTTGGTGCTATTGTTTTATTATTAAAGTTTCTGCAAAATGTATCAAGTGAAGGTGGAAACATCTCATCTGGCCTTATAGTCTGTTTGCAGTGAAAACGTACCGATGAATTTCACTCTAAACAAAGATGAATTTCATAATTTTACCTCTAAACAAAAACTTAGTAGATGCCGAAGCTTTTTCAGGCGCACATTTTCATACACGGTTTGAAAAGTGAACGCTAGCGAAATTAGCCAAGCGTGGTCCTGGATCTACGATGCGGCTGTAAAATTACACAGAAATGTAGAATATTAAATTTCCTATCCGTTGGTATAAATATAAGTACAACTACCTTGGCGGTTTGAAAATAGACCTTTGCTAAATGTTGTCCAAATTTTTGTTATGCTTAAGAAACAGTAAATTTCTCCGGCTATTTATCGCGACCGATAAAAGCACTGTGCTACTTATGCATTTTTAATGTGGCATCTTTACGGAATATGTGAGCTAAGAAAATACAGCCTGATATCTGAACGACATAAAATGACTCGTAATAAATGTCAAAATGGATTTTCTTCTATGACGCCGTTTAATTACATAGAGGTCATACACGATAATGATATTGATAAGGGGGCATAACTCCAAGTATGCGTAACACTAGGTCAATGTAACTCAGATCACTTGGAGAGAATTTGTTGTTAAGACGGACGCTATATTTTCGTTATTTTATGTTCATGGTGAACCAAACTATTCCAGTTCAAAGTTCCCAATGTGAACGGACGGGCTTTGGTAGTTTCACAATTTATAAGAAAAGATGTCAACGTCATTACATGTGAAAGCACGTAATAGCATTTGAATGGACCTATCCGGTATATAAGTTAGTTCTTAGAATCCCATATTCTCCTGTTTGTGTAGATGTAATTTGACTTATTTTGCATCGTTATTACCAGAGTACTAGCCATATCTTCAAATGTAACTAAATTGCTGAAAATGATACAACATTTTAGTTGACGCCCTTGCTTGTTTTATGCATTTTGACGCCGAAAAAGACGACATTGGTATGCTGATTAGTATATATCTCACTTAATTTCCATTAATTGTATGAAAGGTCCAGACTTCTATGTCAGAATTTAACACTCTTTAGACAAAACATAAAATGACTGATTTTTCCATTTAAATAGTGTCCTGAATATATCAACAATTAGACGGTTTGACAGCGTATCTTTTGTGAACAACACGCCTGTTTGGCATCAATTTAACGTAAATAAAAATAATATTTCACAACACCCGAATATTTTGTTTGGGATAAGAATTTTTGTTTGTTTATGATTTTGTCGCTATTTCTCTTCATAATGTGCAATGAAAGATGCAAAAAGATAGCTTTTTATATATGGAACTATATATTAGAATATGGATGTAAGATTTGTCCGAATTAACTAATGAGACGGTATATATATTTTTCAACAATTTTCCTATAAATGTAGTTAGAGTTTGATATCCTGTCATCACAATATTATTTAATCGAATATGAATTGAATATATTATCGAAAACAATGATAGAGAATCATAAAACGTTTCCAACAAACGGGCACCTTGCCGATCAATATGCATCATTCTTTTGTGTATAAAACGACACAAAATTATGCAATGAACAAGACAATTCCTTAAATATGTGTGCATATACATTTCATACCATATCTAAATCATTGTCATTAATATTATCAGTTTTACATATAAGGTTGAATTAAATCAACGTTCATTAACCTGTTCATATGAAATTGCAATATTAGTCCAAAAAAATTCAAATTGAATATTGTACATCATAGGAACTAAAGTAGTTGCAGCTATTGCTACGTTTGATCTTCTAACACTTGTGTAATTGTTAGAATATGGTGTATTGCACTAAATATGTCAATTTCTTATGTAAATATGATTCAAACAATCAAAAACTTTCAAAGAATAAAACACCGTCAACCCTATATGCACGTATGATATGATATTGAACAAGGCTAAATGTAGATACTGAAGTCAGTTTCATGAAAAAGTATCTGAACTAATACGCAAAATATACACCATAATACTGACAGTGTAATCGGAAAGATATGGCGATTGTGTTTACTCTTGTTCAACCGACCTTCACCTTCAAACAATCAAAAACTTTCAAAGAATAAAACACCGTCAACCCTTTATGCACGTATGATATGATATTGAACAAGGCTAAATGTAGATACTGAAGTCAGTTTCATGAAAAAGTATCTGAACTAATACGCAAAATATACACCATAATACTGACAGTGTAATCGGAAGGATAGGGCGATTGTGTTTACTCTTGTTCAACCGACCTTCACCTCAAAGAAATTGCCTAATATGTAGAACAATGTTGACGTATGACATCACTACCGCTGACCGATTTCTTACAAAATGGCGGCTTTGCTGACAAGGGTACACAGGATTTTGCGAGGACCCTTCCATTGATTCAGGGATCGCTTTGTACATAAATATGAGATGTAAGTAATCAGAATGATTCTGACTATCTGTGTATTGTTATATGTTTTTATCGCTTTCACTATAAGTAAGAGAAAAGGCCAGAAATGCAGATAATTACCGTTGTCGCTCTCGTGGATTTACGCCAGTCATGGCGCCACGCTGCAATCGGAAACTTTGACAGTTTCTTATGAATTATCAAATCATTGCATTGTATCTATTTATAATTTCCTATTTCTTACTATCATTATACTCTTTCCATGCATATTCCAAAGGTATTGAGCCATTGCAAAGCAATGAATAGACGGATGAATGTTGAAAACTTTTGCATTTCCTACTTCTACAGTTCATTATCTTGTATAAAGAACTCCAAGGCTCAAGAAAGCCATGAATAAATTAAGGCACTCTCTACACACAGTTTCATCTCTTGATCATGGGTATGAGTCCCAGCTTTGAACAACTTACTGGTACAATTCTTGACAGCCCCATAAAAGTGCTCCCAAATGTGGTAAATAATGAATAAAAGAGACAATAAATACCATTACAAGGTTGCTGACTGTAACCACTTTCTTGGACATGTAACTTATTACAATAGATTGTTATACTTCCTCTACTTGGCATTGTGTGTTGGATAATAAACCATTAAATACTAAACACTGAGATTTTTGTAACAATATTATTGTGGGTATTATTGTATGAGAAACATGTAAAACTCAAAACCTGCCACCTTGAAAATAGGTTCTGGCTAGTATTTCCATAAACAGGTGGTATTGGTCTTCAGTATGTTTGTACCACAACTGACAGGATGTTGCTGAAATAGATGTCTTCATATCCAAACTACTTAGATTGATATTCATGATGTTAATCACTGGGTTGTCTGGTCCAAACTTGATTATATCTGATCACTGTCATATTGCCAAGTGTTACATTAAACAACAAATAGTGTGATGCAGGTGAGATCCTGAACACTTAGCTCTATCCTTTCTTATTTGTTAGTACAGAATGTATATTTATTGATTGCCAGAACATGAGGCAATCAGGCAAGTTATGTTTGATTACTGTTTAATTGTTTTGGTGTTTATTGGTTGTTTTGATAAAACTGTCACAACAGGGTTGAGATGTGCTTCTGTGTAAGCTGTGTGCTGATTGTGTGGTGGCAGTTTGTGTGAGCCAGGGCAGAGACTAGGGTCTGTGGAGGCCACTTTGTGCAACCACTGGATCTAGCTTACTCTGTGGGACAGCATTAACACATTATGTTATTCAATTGTCAATAAATATGGTTTAACAAAAGTTCATGTGACTTGAAAAATTTGTTTTTATTTTTAGTCATCACGAATCTCTATTTATGTATCTTCAGTGAGCAGTTCCAGCCAATCCGGGCCGGTGGGGTAGCCTAGTGGTTAAAGCGTTCGCTTGACGCACGAAGACCTGGGTTCGATTCCCCACATGGGTACAAAGTGTGAAGCCCTTTTCTGGTGTCCCTGGAATGCTCCTTAAAAGCGGCGTAAAACTGAACTCAATCACTCCTGTCAATCCACCTATAAATTGCCAGGGCACTTGGTACGATATGAGCGTTGCATATTACTACCACAAGACCAGGACCTGCTATATTTGTCTGAAGGATGATTGATGGATATGCTGCTCGTCATTTTAAGTCAATTCATTTAAATTATGAGTATTTGAAGTGTTATAGATACATGTATTGAATACATGAATTCCATCTGTCCTTCAAAACTATTCGTTGGATCGTTTTCAATTTGAGTAGTACCACCTTTGTCTACACCTTTGTCTACAGGGGAGGTGCAGAGCACCATATTTTACCTTTTTCAAGAATTACTGTAAAGCAATTTATAACTTGAAAAGTATTGGCCAAAATCTCGTCAAATCAAGAATTATCACAATGTACATCTCTTGATCTTAAGGAAAAATTCCCACTTCTCAACCAATAACTTCATAAATCATATGATGGATTGTTTTCAGATTTAGGTAATGGGTTCTTTACTTAAAGGAAAGGTGCAGTGTAAGTGTGATAGAGATATGACAAACTTGAAATAGCTCATTTGTTCTGAAAATAATTTATTACCACCTGACCTTGTAATTTGAGAAATGTAAAAGTTGACAAATGGAGCCATGACATGAGTTCACTTGACTTTCAGGTATATTAACATACATTAAATGGTTATTTGTGTAACAGACATTTAGTTGACATGTTTGAAACATATAAACCCTTCCTTCAAAATTAGGGGAAATTTGAAAACAGCAAATGATATAAGAAATAGCAAGAGGTATCAAGTGATGGTAATGGCTGGATAAGATGTGATACAGTAACCTTTCATGACTTTCTGGCAGATCAGGGCTAAGATTAATTACCTTGACCAGACTGGATGTGCAAATAAATTCCATATTAGTGTATCTAGAGACGCGGGAGAGTCTTTTTCATAAAGTAAAGCAAGTAGCATGAGACTGTTTCAAAACTTATGATGCATTTAGCATGTGATAGTGAAGAACATCATTGTGCACAAGCCTCAAGATATTTGATGGGAGAACCAGGTAACAGTAACACATGTGTACACGTACTGTTGTATGGGCTGGGGAGACAGGGTTTCACATGACCAAGTGAAACTATAAAGTAAAAATCTACTGCATTTGGCAGTGATGCCAATAGACAAGCTACAGGCATTGAACACATTATACTGCATCAGAAAACATTACAGATCAGAGATGAATATAGACAGCACTTCGGACATCAGCCATGACAGCCTGATTATGGATTTAATAAATGTTTCTTGCATTTAGGAGGGAAGAGAGCTGCATATCTAACCTATCTTTTACTACATTCTTGTGTGATCAGTCACATGAACATACCAAGTTTCACATGTGACAAGTGGCCTGGTTATGAACAGAAGTAACATTTCCAGTAGTAGTGGTACAGGTTACTGATCTAGGTATACAGCAGGCAGTACAGTACTTCAGGTCACTGATACATGCCTAAATGTTGTGGAGGCAACCTTAAGGCTTTGCTATTCCAGATGGGGCTTGTTTGGAATCCATAGAATGGCAGTGGCTGTGTATATTATGTCCTGGTTAGGACTGCCAGTTGTAAGAATGTTTGACTTGTCAGTTATACTCTCTCCAAGAAAAGTAAGGCATATTAAAAAATAACAGATAATGAAATACAACCGATACAGAACAATTAAATTAAGTGTCACATTGGTTTATTTTGGCCATACAGAGACAGGAGAGTTCATATCAATACTATTTCATGTGAGACTTTCAGTATCTCATTAAAAACAATTTGGCATGACACAAGTCTAACTAGTTATGTCCTTGGTAGCTTGATATCAATACCATTTCATGCGAGACTTTCAGTATCTCATTAAAATAAAATTGGGCATGACACAAGCCTAACTAGTTATGTCCTTGAGCTACCAATCAACAGAATCCTTTGATGTAACTGTTTTCAGACTTGAAAAACATTGAGAATCACTCTAGTTGTTGCTCCTCTAGTTGTTCCGCAAGTACAACACAATGATAACTTCAGATTTTTCATTTTCACTTAAGACCCTCCCCACCCCATACCGATGTAACAATCAACTACAACATCAAATATGTGTTGCTGTTACCTGGTTGTCCCATCAAGTATCTTCATCACGTTCTCCATGATGGCTACAGACAGTTACAGTAGCTGTATGTACATATGTGATGGCAGCACCAACTCCTGGCTATAACAGCCCCTGTCTCTTCAAGTCTTCAAAGGTCTTCTTGTTAACGACATTCCCCTGGGAGTCTTCATACTCTTCCTGAAGCAGTGTGAAGATAGTTAAATCACACACAAGAAAAACATAGTGATTGACTGAACAGGACAGTAATATTCAGAGTAAGTGAAGTTGTCTGGGTGTTATCTCCTGGGACTCACAAGTAATAGGAACATAGTAATATCACTTTGGTCATAAATAGATGGTCCAGCAGACGACGATTTCAGACTAACTTTGTATCAACAGGTACAGGAGCCACCATCAGGGATAGCAGGCGACAACTGACATAGTGATCGACTGGTTGGATATTCAGCTGGTCTATCCACATCTGATAAGATGAGGATACTGAAGTTGTCACAGGAAGTACGTTCAAATCACTGGGACTAGTTGTATCATTTCAGTTTGAGGGGAGCCAGGACCTCTTTGTCAAATGTATACAAGTGTGGGACGACTCTGAATCAGGTTTTATCACACAGAAACTGTTAACTATTATGACAGCAAATGGTGACATTGTCTAATCAAATGCAGTGCACATATAAAATATGTTTATGTTGAGACTGAGTAGTGGAGAGGCAAGAGGGAGTGGTCTAGTTTACCTCTGTGTCTGGTCTCCATCGGTCTGATTCCTTCCCTGACTTTATCTTCTGCCACACTACAACATAGCAAGTTATAACACTGGACATCATATATGGATTATTGGAAAACTGTTGCAGCCATCAAAATAGCTTTCCATGGAAACATGACTTCGTGCCAAATGTGTTTGATGGTTTTGTCCGGGAGCATATCTCTTAAAGTTTACATGCTAGGTTCACCAAACTTCACACACATGTTAATCATTACCCTTTGATGTGCCTTTTGCTATTTTAAAGTTTTTCAGAATTTGTTTTGTTGTTGTTTCCATGTAAACATGACTTGGTGCAAAATGTGTTTGATGGTTACCTGGCCACAGCATATCATCGAAACTATACATGCTAGGTTCACCAAACTTAATACACAAGTTAATCATGACCCACAGATATGCTATGTGCTAAAAAATAACAATCTTCATCTACGTCCACTTCATTGTGTGCAACAAGTTCAATTGTATGTCAGGTTTCCACGGAAAACACAAAAAATTTCCTTAAATTATTACTGTAATCAGTACATGGCAAAACAATTATCTAACATGTATATAAAGTTTAGTAGAATCAAGGAGAAAGTCTTGTGAGCTGCTGATCCTTGTCACATTATATACTAGTATATCAATATCAGTCATTTCCATGTCCCAAAGTGGGAAGCGGGAGTATGTGAGCTGTGCTCACTTCTACACTTGTTTTTTATACTTATATCCTGACTCCTAATCAATTGCTTTTCTCTCTCACCCAAAATGTAGTGGAAACTTTCTGTGCTGTGATCCTCAACAAATCAATCAATTTCCCAAAATTCACCCTTCTCCAGTGCTGGCACAATAGCATGACATGAGCAATCCAGTTGACTGGTCAGTCTCGCATTTCGTATTTCAAGGGTTGAAATATCACAATTTAGTGGAGTGGGGATGGTGGGATGGGTAGTTTAGCATTTGAATCAGGATAAGAATAAATGAATATCTTTAGTCTTACTTACAAAAAGTAAAACCTGGGAGCAAACGAAAACCTCAAATGCGGTTATTCCGGGAAAAGAAGCCATGTTTAATATATAGGGAGAAGCACCCTTCAGGTTTATATTGTGGGGTACCAATCTTCTGTTTGGTGAAAAGGCGTAAATGTTTTGTGATTGTGTGGATTTGATCAGACTTGCTGATCTTAAGGGACTATATGTTCAAAATAGGCCTTAAACATCTTAGAATCATATCATTCATGCTCTGAATTAAATGGTTAACTGTTAGTTGTGCTCCAATGGACCAAACTGAAGAATAATGCCAGCATCATCTTCTGAAGCAGAATCTCCAGAGATAATAGATACCAAAAATGGTTCCAGACCTTCAGAAACTGCCTTCCCTTTCTGACGGAATGGAAGAATTGCAATGAAAAGCGAATATCCAAGCTAAAGCTCTGACTCTATGTGGATTATAAGCTGAAGGAGGATCCAAACCTGCTGCCTTATAAGCTCTCAGAGTAACTGCTCTCATCCAGAATGTTGTTCTTGAAATTTCTTTGGAATTATTCGGTGACAGAGGTATAAGTGGACTCTTACATCTTCTTCTAGATGAACTTTTTCTCAAATAATACAAAAAGCTCTGACTGGGCACAGGGATAAATCTCCAGTATCTTCTGATCCTAAGATCGATGACATGGGTGTGACATGAAATTGTCTAGTTGTCCTCCTTCCTTCCTTGTGGTTAAATCCTACCTCAAGCCGAGATGATGTGTGATCAGAGACAAATTCTTGATTCTTCTTGTGAGCGACCATAGCAGACAGAAACATTTTCTCTTTGTCTGTATGTGGATTCTTTAAAGTGTTGAAAATGATTAAAATCTAAATATTTTAGATATTTAAATACTTTCCTTACCATAGGTCTTATGCATATTACCTTAAGCTCCGCTTAGAAGAGATCAGACAGTCGTTGATTCGCCATTCTCTAGAATGGCTGCCTCAGGTATCTACGAGTGTATAGGCACGGAAGTGACGTGATCTCCCCTCTCGCTCAAGCGCGGTCTATCCAAAAATCACTTTTACTGACCAGGTCCGAAGAGCCCAGAGAGGGGAGGAGCATCCAGCGTTGGGAGGGAGTTACCGCCCTATGGTAAGGTAAGTATTTAAATATCTAAAATATTTAGATTTTAATATATTTTTAACTTACCTTACCATAGATCTTATGCATATGGATTGGACAGTAGGACGGCAGTGTCGGGCTCCAGAGGACCATCCTAAGACCACATGCCAAGAGCAACCAAAGAGAACTAACTGAGTCGACACGCTGAATCAGGAGGCGCCTGTAACAGGAAACAGATAGTAATCCAAGGAAACCCTGAGGAAAACAAACACACCCAGGGCGTAAGTTAACCTTAAGACCAAAAAGGTAAGAAGAAGAAGTTACCTAATGGGCGGTAGGTCGGGTGAGTTGCTGGGCAACCACCAGAGGACCAAAGGATTGCAGCCCTTCCACATCCTCAACAGCCAAATCCCGCAGGTAGTGGCTAGCGAAGACAGTAGAGGATTTCCAGAAGCATCCCTCCATGATGGCTGGAACGGTGCAGTTCCTATGGAGAGCCATAGTGGACGCCAGGGCTCTAATCTCGTGCGGGTTATTGGCTGTAGGATGAGGTAGACCCTGTGCATCGTAGGCGGCCAGGATGGTCGTACGTTACCAGAGGGCAATAGTATTCCTACTAACTTCCCCTTTAGCCACCGAGGAAAAGGGAATAAACAGTCTCTTACGAGACTGCCTCTTGGATGATGACTTGGCAAGATACATCTTAAGAGCCCTCACAGGACAAAGCAGCTCTTCCTCAGCCTCGTGTGGTCCAAAAATGGAAGACAAAGGAGAAATTGAAAACATTCTGTCCGGCTGTCCTGGTAGCTGATTCTTAGCCACAAAATCCCAAAGCAGTCCCAGATGAACAGGACCATGTCGCGACTGCTCAAAACGCACCCTGGTGACATCCTAAGCTCGTGGATCTCACTGACCCTAGCCGCCGTAGCCAGGGCCAAGAGAAAAGCTGTTTTCCTGGAGAGATTCTCAAAAGAAGCAGAGTCTAGGGGCTCGTAAGGCGGACCTCTCAGATGCCGAAGAATGATGTTAAGGTCCCAAGCAGGAGGACGAAACTTTGCCTTCTGGTCCTCCAGCTTGAACGCTTTAAGTAAAGCGATGAGTTCCCGCACCTTGGAAATCTTCTTGTCACACTTGACTGCCAACACAGAGTTAAGAGCCAACAAATACGTTCCTATAGTGTTACCCTTGAGACGCCGGGACTTCTGAAGGAAAAGAAGGAACTCTGCTATAAACTGAGGAGAGGCTTTTATGCCACATAGATTTCTGTGCACAAAACTTCTAAAAGAATTCCACTTATCATCATGGAGTGATCTAGTGGAAACTCGATGAGCACGAGCAATAACCTTAGCCTTTAGCGCCCTTTGCAGATGATCCAACCGAACAGATGAAATCGAGTGCGGTCGACCAAAGCGGAGTCCCAGTCGGTGAAATCGAGTCGGCGAGATGGCGCAGATCTGGAAAACAAGTTCTGGTTGGCCACCAAAGCCCAACCAAAAGCAGACGAATCGCCACTGTCTGCTTGACCTTTGCTAATACTGCTGGCAGCAGAACTGGAGGTGGAAAGGCGTATGCGTCCAGACCCTCCCACGACAAGGACATGGCGTCGACTGCCCATGCCGCCGGATCTGGAACTGGAGACACGCACAACGGCAGCTGTTTGTTGAACTGGGTCGCAAACAGGTCAATCAGAGGGCGACCGTGACTGTGGCATAGAAGGTTGAACGCTTCTGGATGTAGCATCCACTCTGTTGGCGATGGCTTGCCTGGCCTTGAGAGAGCGTCTGCTAGTACGTTCTTGCAACCTGGGATGTGCCGGGCTCTTGCTCTGATGCCATTGTTGTCCAGGAGATCGGCCAACAGGAAGGTCTGCTCCAACACCGTTTGGACCTGGTTGTTCCCTGGTTGCGAATCAACCACACCACCATAGAATTCGCTATCAGGAGCCTGGTGTTCCGCAGCAGAGGAATCCAATGTCGAACCGCAGCCCTGAAGAGACGCGTCTACGGCCCCGACTACGAAAAGTTCGTGATCGTGAACAAACTCTGTCAAGGAGACACCTACGCAGATGTTCGACTCTACAGTCCACCAGCGGAGGTAAGCATGGAGATGTAGAGGCAGGAGGAATCTCGACTGAAGATCGTCTGCCTGTGGATGTAAGGAAGAGGAAGCGCTGTAACGGCCGGAGCATCAGATGACCTCTGAGCGTCAAGTCCTGGGCTGAGGTGAGGAGGCCTAAGAGGGACTGCCACTCCCTGAGCGTGAGTGGCTGGGACAGACCCCGGCTGGCGAAATTGACAATCTTCCTCCAGGGATCCTGCGGAACCCTGACTAGGTCGCAGTCAGTAATAACCCTCCTATGAATGTCAGTTCCTGGGACGGCTCCAGGTGCGACTTGTCCGTGTTGATAATCCACCCCAGTTGCTCCAGAAGATGCATAGCGAAAGTCATCTGTCTGCGAAGCAACTGAGGATCGCGGTCCCGGGCGCAACCTTGGCATGAAGCTGTTCCAGCAGGTAAAGGTGGTTGTTTTGAATCATGCGCATTTTTCCCGAGTCTTTCTTGGGAACAAGAAAGACAGGTGAGTAAAACCCCGGGGACTGTTGGGGGTTCTAGCACTATAGCTTGCTTTTCTAGCAAAGTCTGGATGTTGTCTGCAAGCAGTAGCTGTTGGTCTGGAGCATACACGCGTGACAGGGGCGTTGTAGTCAGAGGGGGTATCTCTTCTGGGGACGTATCGACGCTTTCCCCTACCCCTCGTAGCCGACCTGCCACGAAAGGCCGAACTCAACGCTTTAAATGTAGATAAGGACACCTCCGTATTCGTAAGCTCTGCGTGTTCTTTATAGACTTCGGGGAATCCTATCATCGAATAATAAGCGAGACGCAAAAGGAGCTCTCAGGAGTTTCCTTTTAAACTCTACTGCCAGGAACAAGACTCGAGGAAACCTGTACGCCTAACAGCTGTAGTTATGGCCAACGCTGTCCTGAGGTGTGCCAGCAAATCATGAAGTTCCTTACCCTGCCACTGGAACAGGGTGGTAAGGTGTTCAATCCTCGACGTATTGTCTTCAGTAAGATCCCAAGCAACGCCGAAACGGGCTTTAACATCCTCTTAAGTTCTGCATCAATGGCCAACATCTTGGAATCCTGTACACGATAAGACGACTGTGGAGAGCCCGATAAACGTCAGAGAGATTCATCGTGAGCCGCGCCTCCATCGGCAAAATCCAAACTATGTATCTTATAGTCTCCTTTCCGTGACTTAGGAGCCTTAAAAGTCGTTTTGAGAGAAAGCTTAGCAAAATCCGCATCTAAAGAAGCCACAGCATCGGCTACCATCGGGTGAGGCGGGAGGAGTAATTCAGGAGAAATCCTAATAGCTCTCAAGTTGTCACCTGAAGAGGGAGAAGGGCAGTCCGGCAGTCTAACAGCAATCCACTCAAACACGGAGGATAGGGGGAGGTAGGTACCCCCATGTTCTTCCTCTGGTAACGTCTCCTCAATATAGTCGGGAGAGAAATAACGCTCATCATTGTTGTCCCAAGACACGTCCGGAGCATTATATCGTTGGCCAAAGGCAGCAGGCGTCAGGCGCTCTGATGACACCTGACAATCAGTGCTAAAAGTAACTGTCGGAGAACGTGTTCGTTGTGGCGAGCGGCGCACAGGAGGAGACCTAGAACAGGACTAATGATAACGCCTCCCACGAGTCGGCGACCTAGAACGCTGGCGATGACAAGAATCAGAGCTAAGTCGATTGCTCCTGGATCGACGGCGGTGACGAGGAGACCTAGAGCGAGAATGCCTAGAACGCCCGAACGCTCAGCCTCCTGGCATCGGGAACGGTCTTCCACTAATTGCCGCTGCAAGTCTTTCTCTCTAGACAACGTAGAGACAGGTGTCTTCTTAGGGAATAAAAACAAAAGCGCTGGTTGAGAAAACAACCCAACATCAGAGCTAAGTGCTGCAGTCGTCGATGCCGGGAGTGCACTAGGCGTAGGGGCAGCGCTAGGCGCTGGCACGGCGCTGGCTTGGGCTTCTACTGCAGCCGGCAGAGAAGCGTCCTCAAAAGCTTCTGAACCTCCAGATGTGATAGAGCATCTGGTCGGGACAAATCAACAAAAGCATCAGACGGTTGTTGGGCTTCAGGCGTCAACAGATGCGGCGCAGGGGTAGGCGTCTGTACTGTTGCAGGAGAGGAACGTCCATCCGGCATCCGAGGAAGAGGGGATCGGATCCCACTGAAGAACCAGGAGACCACATCTTCCTCTTGCGCTGTGATAACCGTTTCTTCTTGGCTGCTATGTAGGCCTTGAAATCAGCGCAAAATTGACAGCGCTGGTCAGGGGAACAGACGACAGTGGCGCAGTCCGGACACCACGGGTGGGGATCTTTGGCAGATTTCTGCACCCTGCAGATGCTACAAAACTGCTGGGTCATGCAAAAGCTGTAACACACAAAAAAAGTCGAAACGTAACAAAACGTAAACACACAAACAGCAAGAACAGACACGACGAAAAAAAACCCTGCAGGTAAAATGGTGATAAGAACACAAAATTAGGCAAAAATATGAAGGAACACCAAGCATGAACATTATGATGAAAGAGACATAGGAGTATGCAATACATCAAACATGCTAAGTGGAGAGACACTCGCAGCGTGGGAACACACCCCACACCAAAGTGAGAAACACGAGGCACCCAGGTAGGTGAAGTTTACTTTTATTATATTCTTCACCCTCACAGAGAAGAAGAATAAGAAATAAAAACCATACCTACTAAAAAGCAATCAATAACTTAAATCTGAAAGAGAAAGTACGTAACGAGCTAGCGAAAACAAACATCTGACATGTAGCACGCTTAAAGTAAAAGTGATTTTTGGATAGACCGCGCTTGCGCGAGAGGGGAGATAATGTCCCTTCCGTGCCTTTACACTCGTAGATACCTGAGGCAACCATTCTAGAGAATGGCGAATGAACGACTGTCTGATCTCTTCTAAGCGGAGCTTAAGGTAATATGCATAAGACCTATGGTAAGGTAAGTTAAAAATTTATTCATTGAATGCACGAGACACTGCTAACCTGAAGAAAGATCTTCTGGTAGTAGTACTAAGTCTTGCTAACTTCTTTTTCTTTCTATGTCTTTGAATATAATGTGAAAGGATAATGTTCATCTACATCTGGAGCTCTGTAAAATGTTACATAAGATGAAGAAGAAGCATTCGGGATTGAGTGCTGGTGTCAATAACATTTGAGTTCTTGCAGCCTTTGCAAAGGAATTCTCCAAATAGGACCTGTAAGTAGGTCACAGCACTTCGCGAGACCTTAGTACTTCCGGTTGCAAATGTTTCACGCCTTTTTCGAATGGTCTCATGGTTGTCAGTTGACAGTAAGGAACTGGTAATCCTTGCAGGAATAACAAATTTCCGATCTAACCATCCTCAAAGTAGCCAACTATTATGACTGTCAACAGCTGTGACAGCCAAGCTTGGTTGTACACTTGGACATTTCTAGTAAAGTCATATTTGGTGGTCACGCAATTTGGAACCAGAATATACACATGGTACAGGAAATCTGGTACCAAAAGGAAGCTGGGTTCCATCTCACATATCGGAAGTTGGCGCACACAAAGGGTCCCAGGAACCAGCTTAGTACCGGAAGTAGCTCCTTGCAAGACCTACAGGCCCTATTCTTTGCTACCTGCAAGATGGGCTGCATCAGTGGTATTGTCAGTGTCCCTTTCATGCAGTAATTATCAGCAGGAGATGAATCCCTTGAAGGTGAAGTAAACCATCTATGATCCATGCCAATAACTTGTGATCTTCACGAAACCCAATTCTACTGCTGGAAGAAGACTTCTCTGAAGATGAATACTTCTTCATTGTTGCCAATTTCTACATACTCTTGTGTTGAATCCTGTGATGGAGAGAGTGAAAAGAAATAAGTTCCAACTTAACTTCCTTATTCATATGTCTCTCTTCCTTTGGAGAATGGATTGCTATAAACTCACTATCTCCTTTACATTTTTTTCTGAAGATGGTGAAAATGACAGCGACAACATGCCTGTTTTGGGCTAACGTTTCAGCGTGCAGCCGCTTCGAGTCTTTGGTGTCGACGCCGACACGCATTAGTCGTCTGTAGTCGAGTCGCTCTCGCTGCACGTCCGACTGCGAGTCCAACGAATGGACCGGGTTGTTCTCATGACCGTTCAGGCGTTTCAAAGCAATGCAAGACACGAACGGAGGAGCATCCGGTTTGAGCAGACCACAGAGATTCGTGTCCCATGTTCTCAACGCTCTCTCAGTCTACTGTGAATAAGAGTGGTTGTAATGCTGACAATTTAGATAGGATGGCTTAGATTGCAGAACAAAAAAATATTTCCCCAACCATACTGTTGGGCAAAAATGAGGAGAGGTAGAAGTCAATCGGATTGGTCATGTGGTTCCGGTAAGTCTGCACGGGGGAATTGTTTCTGAAGGTGTTTTCCTGTTAATGGTGATTACAACACAGGAACATTTCGAGAGAATGAGAGATGAGCAATGAAGTATGATGCTGGTTTTAAATATGACTTCAGTAAGTATGAAAAGAAATATGACGAATGACACTGGCTTGGACATTATCGGCTACAACAAACCAGTGACTGATACTATAGGAAATAGCTGTTATGACATTCCATCAATCAAGTCACTGACACCCAGATCCAGCCCCTGCAGGAGACGCCATATAGTGTTAAACAGCAGTGTGTGAGTATGTGAACTCAGTGAACCAAACTTTCAGGACATCATTCCAGGGAAAAACATTTAGACAACATTGTTCTTGAAAACTAAGTGACTATTTTCTTTGAGTCATTATAACTTCTCAGATGCATGTGATAAAGATTGTGGAAGGTTTTTGGTACTCCAGTGCTGAGTGATTACTTCGGTATTTTAATGAATTCAGCAATTCTGTAGAATATGTGTGAGCATTCTTATGACATACACCATGCAAAATCTAGTGACAACCTTTTCCCCAATAGTTTTGTCACACATGCTTGTAATAGACATGTGCAGGTGATTATTAGAGTTGATTATTGGTGAATAGCTGAAGAGATGACCACTGAACCAGTAGTAATTCTTTACATCACATTTCTTCAAATACAGAAACTGGTCCCAAGATACAAATTCATTCTGAAAATTGACTTTCATATATTGTAGAACAAATCTGGCTGTGACTTCGTTAGCATTCAAACGCTCTACTAGTTACTGAACATGTACCAAATTCAGTTGCTAAATACAAGCTGCTATTTATTAAAGTTATTACCAAGGTGAAACTGATGACCAGTTGAACTAGTAAAAGGAAAGAGCACACTCACAAGCAAGGGCATCTTCTATGAGTGTGACATTAGCAAAGTGAGCTGTGTTGGGGATGCCTAAACACCTCATGCCATGGGCATGTCTCCACTCCTGAAACATAACAAGAGAGGTTCACAACATATTTACACATGCAGCATGGCACAATGTTCCCCCTGCTTCAAAAGGTAACATCCCACAAGGAAGCTCCTACTAAATTCAGGTTTCCTTTGATTGACACAATAACTAAATATTTCCTGTGTCTCAATAATAGATATTAAGCTTTATTGAAAATAATTTAGCTCACATAATTCTTGAGGCTTTGGAGCGGCTTTCAAACATGCACCAGCGAAAAGAGTCCTTCAAAATGACAGTTTTGACAGAAAGAGTAGCTATGTACAAGATTTTTGAGTATGATAATTCCTTTCCCACAGAGGATCACTGTCTCAAGAGAGAAGAGAGTGTGTGCAACTCACCGCAAAGTGCCTCTGGTATGCCTTGGGTCCTCGGTAGGGAAAGTTGCCGCAGATTTCACAGGTGTAGCTGATGTTCAGACCATGAAGCTTGTACAGCCAGTATGGAATAGGCTGCAAGGACAGAGATAGATCACCCATTGCTCTATACGAGAAGAGGAGGACATGCCTCACAGGGGGTATCCTAATCAACAATTGCTAAGGACCGTATCATTGACCAAAAAAAGACTATTTTCGTCCATAGCAAATGTTGCGTTATACATTATGAGAAAATGATTTAACACAATTAAAACAAGTTAACAATATTCCATCTATAGTTAAATCCTTTAGGGGCATACTGGACATTCCCTCATATACAATACAACATCCTACAACTTCTTCAGTGAAAAGCTCAGTTAACATAAACATTGCCTAAACTTTGTAAGCCTAATCACACAATAGCAAACTGTCATTACTTAACACATATATAGACTTTGTTTCAAAACCAGTAATACACATAATAGGTGGAATCTTGATCATAATTATCTTAACAATGCATCATTATAACCACTAAATAGCTCCTTACATGGAGGGTGCAGTCTGATCACTTCATGTAACACTATATATACAGTAGATCTGATTACCTTAACAAGTGCTAACAAGTGCAACAATCGAGACAGTGGTTGAGAAATGTTCAGCAGGGAGAAAGTCCATAAGTGGACCTTCTCACAGGGAAATATTTATAGGCTTCACTGTCAGGGGACGGTGACTCCCTTCCAGAGACAGGATTCAGGAGGTCGTCCCGAAGTCAAAGAAAGCTGCCTATAGTGTTGTATCAACTGACAAGAGGGTAGCAAGGGAGAACAGCTCAGTTTTCTCACACCTGATTGAGGTATAAGAAGTGGTACATCTCATCCAGAGCTTCAGTTACTGCCCAGATGAATATAAGGCCTTCCACAAAAACCCCAGCAGAGCTATCAAACTACACACTGTAAATAGCCTTACCTTGCCATCCCAACCAAGGGGAAGGTTTTTTGGGTTGTAGGGAATATCTTCCTCATCATCATCCGAATCATCAGAGAACTCCTCTTCATCTGACTCCTCCCTTTCCTCCCCAGTGCGGGCCTGCTTGCTCTGCACATTGTCTCGTGTAGCTGCTCGCTGCTCACTAAGTATCTCGGCAAAGCGGTACACCTGGGCCTCCAGGGCAGCTATCTCTCTCTGCCGCTCAGAGTCCCTACAACACCAGCAACAACTGTGTCAGGTGTATCTCACATGATCATTACTTGTATTTGAAACAACTGGTTCACATTGCTATTTCATTTTGTTTTTAAGGGTATATTTACACTATTTATCTGAGACCTGCCTGTGACCAGCGATTGCACTGGTCACATACTATTTGGCGACCAATCACATCTTTGTGTTTATACCGAACAGGGTATGAATTTGACTATGACCAAAATAAACTGAAATCGATATTACACACAACATAGTAGACAATTTGAGTTTGGTGGATAGATTACTTAAGTTATTTTGGCTTTTTTATCTTAAAAAAACACTTGAGTTAAAAATACAGCTGTTTCAAATTGTCAAACTCAGTTTGAAATTTGAGTAAAAACTTTCAAGAAATCAGGGTAAGGTAGAGACCACAGCAACTACATCTGTGACTGACTTGCGTACGAGTAGTACGATTGTTTTTGCGACTAGTTGTGATTGTTGCGACTCCTTGCAAGTTTATTGTGACTATGAGGACATTTTGGAAGACCGCATTGAGACCTTTATATTCTGCATTGATCAATTATTCTGTACTGTACCTGTTCTTGCCAGCTTTCCCTGGCTTGGATTTGGCAAATAATGAAGGGTCAAGGTCTTCAAGATTCTTGCCCTTGGTATTAAACAACCGTTGTGCTCGCTCCTCCAGTGTACTGCAACACCGATGACATTATCCATCACTACACATCAGAAAGTTACACTGCAAGCTCATGTGTGACCTGGATACAGTCTTTCATAAGTTGCAGAACTCTTATCACTCATACATATCTGAATTTCATAAACACTTTCAAATGTAACAAGAGTCATCAAAAGACACCCCCACCCCCACAAATTTGAAAGAACAAATCATCTGACAGTTACTTGAAGTCCAACTTGATGACGAGAGACTTTCTGTCTAATCTGTCAGTGCATAAGGTACACAACAATATCAAAGTCAAAGGACAGAAAAACAAATCTTAAAAATCCCTAATAGCAAAAGGCAGCAGTTGACAACCTGGGCCTAGATTTTTGAAGCTCTCTTAGCGCTAAGATAGTCGTAAGTGCCATACATTAACATTAACTTACGACTATCTTAGCTCTCAGAGAGCTTCGAAAGTCTAGGCCCTGGTCTTTATGTGCACACAGTTTCATGAAAGAATACCCATTAGTTTCAGAGATATGGTCCATAAAAATACACCACTCTGAACAAGAGTCAAAGTCAAACTTGTTGACATGGAAACAGGAATTCATTTTCTTAAAATTCCTAAATAGTAATAATTGTTATGCAGTACTCTGCAAACAAAATCCAACTCCCTCCCCTTTGTCCAAATTGTTTCCATGGAAATGAAGAAAAATATAAATTCCAAGAATCTGTAAATAGCAAAAGGCACAACTTTAGGTTCTGTCTGATTTATCTACCAATTTTCATTGAAAAACGGTTCTTGAGTTACGCTTTTGGAAACAAAAAGATTACAGATAGATGGACAGGCAGAAAAGGCATTGACTATATCCCGCCCCTACACTATATGCCGGGGGATAAAAATGTTGAAAGGTGTTTACATTATACACAAAAACAGAAGCAGTTCTACATTTTCCCTACAACATTCTCAACAGAAAGTTCTATTATTTGGACCTCATCAATATCAATATCAACTAATGTTGTCTGATGCAGTAACCGAGTCCTATAGCTGTGACTGGCTTAATAACAAATTTAAAACACTACTGCTTCACTGACATCACCTCCAGTAAGGGCAAACTTGCCAAATACAGTATCAACAGAAAGAAATATATATGCCTCTACCTCTTATTTATTTTGTATATTATATATATATATCACACGAATGGTTGTTTCGGAACATGCAACAATACATACAACATATTACTGCACAATATGCCAAAGCAAGGAGGGCCAAGGTTATGGAGGCTGCCCAGAACAACAAGGAACAGGAGTGGATTAAATGGCGAAGGGTGTGCAGATGTTAGTGGGCTACTAACCTACTAGTTACAAACAGAAAACAAGTCCCCATTGTAACCACTATGCACAAAGTAAAACAAGAAAACACAAAAACATATTACTTTTAGAAATCCCCAAACATCAAATTGCACTAATTTAGCATGTGATTGATACATATATGCAAAGATTCATAAAAAGATAAGACACGGTTCCAAATTTATTCTCCAGAACTGGATGTCACATAAATTTGAATCCAGTCCAATTTTTGGCCAAGGAAAGAATTTTTTTGTAGAAATCCCAAAACACCAAAGACACAAGTTCAACATTCATTTCATACATAAGTAAAATTTCATCATATAGCACAAAACAGTTTCCAAGTTCCAGAAATAAAATGTAACAGGCCGTACCCTCCCACATCAGCATAAAGCTAATCACTGACCATTGGTGACCATGATCCAACATTTAACAAGTAACAGGCAACACAACAGATGGTTCATTAAGAGAACACACTCCTCTGTCAGGCAGGTGAACATCAGTCCAAATATTACAACAAGATCCAAACAGCATTCAATTGGTTTCTTACTAACTAGCAGATCCTTCACTACTGGTCCCTTACACAACAGGGCCACTCTACTAACCCGCCACACTTGAGACCCAGGGCCATCAGAGCAGACTTGAGTCGATCCAATCCCAGAGATGCCAATTCCTGCAACAAACAACTCACAGTTGAATCTTAGGGCTGCCATGTTATGGCTCTCCTGAGAGAAGTGAAACTCCTCAAACCTCGGAAACTATAAGTATTAGGATACATAGCACGTAACATGTTTTGAACAATATTTATGTCAGAAAGAAATGGGATTGGTCAGCAGGCAACTTCTGTACTGATGGAGCAACAAAAGAAATCTGGCAAACCGTGGCTGGGCTGGTGTGAATTCAGTCCTCTATCTTGTGTATCACTCTTTCTAAAAGAGACCAAGGATGAAAGGCATACATGCATATTCCCATTCAATCCATGGACACTGCATCTAGCACACACAAGAAAGAAGTGGGGTATTCTGACTGCATGCAAGGGGTCAGTTGAAAGATACCATTTACAGCCCAACTAATAATGGAAAGCTAACAGATAAGTGACTGTGAAGACAGCCACAATATAACATTTATGTAACAGGTGTAATCAAGGTTTTGAGTGAGTGAGTGAAGTTAGTTTTACACTGCTTTAACAATATTCCAGCAAGATCATGGTGGGGGACACCAGAAATTGGCTTTACACCTTGTACTCATGTGTGGAAACAAACACAAGTCTTTGGTGTGATGAGCTTTAACCACTAGGCCTAAATCAAGGTTTTGAATTCAAAATATACACATGGAAAAATGTATCCCAACACCTATAACTTTTAACCCCCATACAGCCATTTAAGGTTTTGGTAAGCATCATCTGGGAGGCCTACAAGGGGTTTCCACCGTGCTGTCAGTGAAATCCTCTCTTCCTGGTCTGAAATCCAGTGAATTACTTATGCTAATTGGTATCTGCTGATTATGCGGGATAATTATAAGGTGCCAGCAAGATGTCAGAAAGTTGGAGCGTTTCACTTTAACATGAAAGGCCCAACTTCCCAGAATGCCGCACTTTTCACAGAGATTGGGATTAGCAGGGCTCCAGATAAGGGCCGTATCGACGTATGTACGGATAAAAAATATGCACGATAAGGATAGGAAATAATTTTGAAAACGTAGCAGATACGCACCGCAGCAATGGTGTACGAATCATTTACAGACGTATTTATATGAAAAGGTATTGTTTTATTGTTTATTGACGTGTTTACACAAGAGTAGCAATGTTGTGGTGCATATACCAAACGAAACACAAGAATACTGATTACTAATTTCCATTCAGTACTCTAAATGTACTCTTAAGTTTTTCGAGTACTCCTATATTGAAAAATAAAGGAGTACGTACTCCTGATGTTGAAAATTATCTGGAGCCCTGGATTAGTGAGTGCCAAATAGTGAAAGGGTTCAACTGTTATGCAATTCTGTAATCTAAGAACATAACAACACAGGGTTTGTACAACCCCACCTTCCAAACATACCTCCCATGACGAAAATGCTGACAGGTCAAGATGTGCTCCTGAATGGGTGAGGGCTCCTGTTGCTTCTTTCTGTCAAACCAAGACATCTTCATTACTTGTATGTCCATCATTATGTATTGTATACACTGTCTGGAAATATTTGTTTGTGTAAACCATATATGAACTTAGTGGTGATCTGATTAGTTGAAATAATCGAAGATTGGTCGTAGTGACTAAACGACCAAGCAATCGATCATGTTTTCTCATAATCGAACACAAACAATTCTGGAACACTTGTTTTCATCAACAATATGTTTCACAAGGTTGGTTTTGTATGTTACATTTCATAAGCACTACAAGCTCGATCCAACATGATTGAATTTATCTTAAAGACACCAAGAAATTTATGTTCCTAACATACTAGTACACTAACATCTTTAAAGATGTGAAATTTTGCCAAAAAACCCCAAAATAACTACATGGTTTTCTTCCTTATTTTTTTGTGCAGTAACAAATTTTATAAATGATGCTAACCAATTATTTTCGATGATTGATCGATGGTTATGAACCAATCATCAATTATGAGATTTTAACCAATTCCCAACACTAATATGAACATCATATCTGTTGTTTTGCATCCAATCAAGGAATTGTTTACATGGTAAAACAGTCCTTTCATGTTGTGTCTAATACAGGTCAAAATCATTTTTACATATTTTTCATGCTATGAATGAAAATTTGGTAAGGAGAATATTTATCGGTATGTCAATGGCTACTTTCTCCAACATTGCCAAGAAATTATGTCAAACTTAAAGATATCATATTTTCTGCATTTATTACACTTGATGAAGTCATCCGAAGAGAGACTCAATTAATAACTGGGCAACAAATATTAAATTAAACATACACTGGGCATGTAAAGACTAATTTACATGTTAGATTGGGCTAACACTAATGTGTATACTAATGTATTACAAAATTGGACCAACCAGCTTAGACAAGGTGTAATTTGTGTACTAATGCATTACCAAAATGGTCCTACCAGCTTAGACAAGGTGTAGTTTGTGTACTAATGTATTACCAAAATGGTCCTACCAGCTTAGACAAGGTGTAGTTTGTGTACTAATGTATTACCAAAATGGTCCTACCAGCTTAGACAAGGTGTAGTTTGTGTACTAATGTATTACAGAAATGGACCAACCAGCTTAGACAAGGTGTAATTTGTGTACTAATGTATTACCAAAATGGTCCTACCAGCTTAGACAAGGTGTAGTTTGTGTACTAATGTATTACCAAAATGGTCCTACCAGCTTAGACAAGGTGTAGTTTGTGTACTAATGTATTACCAAAATGGTCCTACCAGCTTAGACAAGGTGTAGTTTGTGTACTAATGTATTACCAAAATGGTCCTACCAGCTTAGACAAGGTGTAGTTTGTGTACTAATGTATTACCAAAATGGACCAACCAGCTTAGACAAGGTGTAGTTTGTGTACTAATGTATTACCAAAATGGACCAACCAGCTTAGACAAGGTGTAGTTTGTGTACTAATGTATTACCAAAATGGACCAACCAGCTTAGACAAGGTGTAGTTTGTACACTGATTCTTAGAGAAGACTGAGATTGGCTACTAAAGCAAAAGGAAACTGACCGGCCAGCCTGGAAACATCCCATCTGACCAGATCTTCTCAAACTCCTTCTGGACACCATCAACCTCCTGCAAAGATACAGCAGTACATGCACACCTGACGATCTGTATAAACGTGGTAAACAGATAAATTTGATCTCATGCTGAACTGTATGTCTGCAATGTTCTCTCGGTATCAACCCATATCACAGTAGGCTCAGTATTGTTACATCTTGGTAGATGTCATAGTGAACCTTGCTGGCTTTGACAATAAATAACTGACTAAAAACAGCTTGCAAAAGTTTGAAGCAAGCCCCTCTACTGACATTTAAAAGTCCCTGTATTTCCATTCTGCTACATCATATCCAACTTGGAGACGTGCACAGTTAAAGTACCCTGCCTCATGCTACCTGAAAAAGAAGTTATACACATTTCCACTTTAATGACATCATTTCTGGTATAAATATATGTCCTAATATCTATTGCATGACAATTTCTAACTGGGGCATTTTAAAGACCTGTTCATTTTCATGGGCCAGCTGTTACAAACATGTCACACCAACACAAGATCTTGTTTCACATCTATCTTGATCTTCACCTACTCACTCAAACTTCGAACAAACCTGTAGAGGTTTCTGATTCTTTGAAGAAAGTCCTCCTTGGGGTACATATAAGCATTAAAGTGTCCATTTTAAAATCCTATGACAGTTGTAACAATATTTTAATACATATATTTACAAAACAAAAACTCGTTTTTGTATTGTGAGACCACACCTACAGGGCCCCTAAACGCCCCCTACAGCCAAAAGCAGGTAACTCTCGCCGTCTACCTCGTACCTTACTTTTCATGCTGAACGTGATCAGACAGAATGAAGGGAGGCAGGTGGCCGTACCCCAAGGAGGACAAGAATCAGAAACCTCTACAGGTTTGTTCGATTCTCTTTCAGACGAAGTCCTCCTTGGGGTACATATGAGCATAAGAGAGACTCCCACAGAGTCAGGAGTGTCATTCTATCTGACAAAACTAAACCCATTCTCCAATGGAATGTACCACCGATCGGAGATAGCAAAACACACTTACCCAGTCACCTGACCGCCGATGTCAATCAGGTCAGGGGTGTGGTTTAGGGCAGGGAGTAGAAATGCCAAGCTCATACGCTGATTGGCTTAGAAGCGTATCAATAAACCCCACCTCCCAATCAACAATTTGGAAGAATATGGGGGACTCGACAACAATTCCCAGTAACATACACCTAGCCAGTGAAGCGAGGTGGGGTGGAAATAATGAGTGAAGCGAGTACAACGCCGTACAAGCCAATTGGAAGTGCGGGAAAATACCACCACCAAATACCATAACCAATAAAAGGAGGAATGACATAATCCAATACCAGGAAGTGCAGAATGATGTAATCTTGAGAGCCCAAACGGCTAGAGAGTTTCAACTCCGCCCAATGCATGGAGAACAGTCTGGCCAAACCGAGCACGCGCACGTGAATGTTTGTCCAGCTGATAGGTGTGGATGAACGTGCTCGGATGGCTCAAAATAACCGCTGAGCAGGATCTCCTGAATGGGCAGTGCCACGGCATACGCCTTTGATGTGGTCACTGCCCAAACCGAAGGAGTTTACCACAACTCTGGGGAATTAAACCCTTGGGAACATAACCCAAACAATGGCAGAGACAAGCCATCTAAATATGGCTTGCTTGTTCGCCGAAATGCCAGCCGTACCACCGCCATAATAGCAGTACAGTTTGACATATGTTACGTTTGACCACTTTCTAAATGGCATTGTGTAACCATAGCAGAACAGTTGTTTATCCCTATATATATAAGCCTTGAGAGTTGTACGGACATCTAAGACATGTATCATGTCGTAGAGAGGTACTTGACAAAAGAGGCTGAGGAGTATCCTCTGACAGAAGACATGGCGGAGCCGGCTTCTCATCGAGATTGCAAAACCCCAAATACTCTGACTAAATGTGTAGAAAAAAAGGGATCAAGAATCCCTCTGCCAACACACCCGCGCGCACAACAGGCCCATCTGTTCCCACATTTAACGTTTGTCAAATCCCTCCGCGAAAAGAAAGAATTTGTCTGCAACTGGTGCAGGAGTTCTGCTCACCTGGAGGTGATTCCGGACAGTGGCCAAGCCACCGACTGAATCCTGGGATTCGTGTGGGGCTTTCCGCTTGGGATAGCCGTTCCGGTTGAATGGGTAATGGAACAGGAGGCTGAGCCAGCATCCTGATGATTACCATAAACCGGCCTTGCGCTGACCAACGATATACAAGGAGTACCAGTAGTCGAGCTGGTTGGGTGACAAGCTGCGAGGGAACCCTGGGAATCAGGTTTCTTACACACCCGTGGGTGAGAAACCCATGTGAGAAAACTGGTATCACACATATGTGTGAGATCGATTTCTAATCCCGTGATTGGCTACTCCATGGTGATGACCTAGGGTCAGGTTATCTCGGACTACTTTCCTGATTAAAATTCATTGATAAGTTACTCGTGCTTCAATCGAACAAAAACCTGTTACTCGTGCCAAAAATACCCCTTTACCCCTACCTGTTATTTTCACGATTGCAACATAAACAGGTATTTATACAATGAGTCACAAGTAGAATAAATATAACACGAATCTATTTATTTTCTAATTCCTTTTATTAAAACTTTTGATTCCTAGTCATGAATTCAAAATGGCACCAACAATCAGTGATACCTGTGTAAACAATTATGTGAAAATAACCGTTAGAGATAAAGCCCTTGATTCCCTTCGAATATTCAAAATGTACAACACTGGTACTTTTACTGGAGAGATGAGACAAGTGTCATGTGTCGTCTTGCAAAATTACCTGACACGATAACGTCAGTGCCTGTCCATTGTGAGATCGATTTGCCTCGTTGTTTCTTTGATGCATTGATGAAGATGACATTTTTCACTGATACACATGATGAAGACTCACTTCCAGCTCCGAGATACTATGTGATTCAAATGTTATCGTGAAATTCACTCATGACAATCAGAACCAAAACACACTTTCGTTGAAACAATGTACGACATGGCACGCTTTGCAAGGCTTCATGAGTGCAAATGGCGCACACGCCCTTTCTATTCAATCGAACATGTACAAGAACGGTTGATCTACACATAAGTCATTTCTCAAGATATTCCACCGACGCATGATAATGAAAAGTTTATGTCTTGATACCATGCAGTATGTAATCAACTCACATTTCATACTGAAAACTCCGTAAATTCCATTACATTCCAAGTGGCAGTTTCTGGCTCGGGAAAACGAGAAGGATGTGGCAAAGAAGAGTAGTCCCCCATTGATAGTGAACGTAACCTCAGCAATGTCTCATTTAAGCACACTGGGTGCACCTAATTACACACACTCAAAGGTTGGGAGAACATTGAACGTAAACTGGTACACAAGTACAGATCCCCAATGTGCAGAGATATCCAAAACAATCTTTCGATGACGACAACCACCAAGCGATAACGATGACGTCACTCGCTCAAATATTTTACGCTTTCAAGAATTAAAATCATCCACATTTGCATGGTAACATCATCGTTTTAGAGGGTTTAATTAATTTTCTGTGATCTTATCTAGTTATCATTATCACTATTGCCTTGATGATGCGAAGAGGTGGCAGAAACCTTTTTGTGGAGGGTCACATGGGGATGAGTAGTGATTAGGAAGCCAAGTGACGCCACTCATTCATAAACGCTTGTGTTGTGTATTATTAAGCACCTCCACGATGAGAAAACATGAAATTTGAATCTATTCGACCATAAAATGGTGCGATTTTATGGTGTGTAAGAAACAGATTACTGTACTCGTGTCTGTCAGATACCATTTATCTTACAACTCGTTGTTTCAAAACGTATTTAACTCGCTTTCGCTCGTTAAATACGTTTTAAAACAACTCGTGGTAAGATAAATGGTATCTGACAGACACTCGTTTAGTAATCTTTATGTATCGGTGGAAATGCCCACAGAACCCTGTCCGTCCAATCGAGCTTTGGATCCGGAATCCAGGAGCAAACACCGGTATTTGGTTTGTCACCCCAGAGGGAAACAGATCCACCCGTAACAACCCGTACAACCCGGAGGCAAGCCTGAATATTCCCCAATCGAGTATTCACTCATGGCTAGTATACGCCGTGGAAGTGCATCTGCACAAACTTTGTCTACCTCCGGGAGATAAACAGTGAGTGAGTTTGATTTTATGCCACTTTAATGTACCAGTAACATCACGGTGGGGGACACCAGAAATGGGTTTCACACATGGTATCCATGTGGGGAATCGAACCTGGGTCTTCAGCGTGACGATTGGACGCTTTAACCACTGCCCCTAGAAGAGCATACGGCGAACTTGTCTGATCAGAGCAGAAACTACCACGCCTCCTGCAGGAGAGACGGAGACACCGTACCACCCTGCCTCAGATTATCGCACACTGATGTGCAGTCTTGACTCGCTCTCTGACCGAAAACAGTGAGGTCGCCCAGAACCCCGCCCCAGCTTGTGAGCGAGGCATCCGTTTGACTCGATATCGATGGCGTCGGTGTCTCCAGGAAAACCCACTGGGTAGATTCCCGGCGTCTGTCCACTTCAAGTGAGGAACCAGCCACTCTGACTGTGGAAAACGCTCCGAGTCAGGCTACACCTGTGCTAACGCCTGCTGTAAAGGTCGCATCCTCAGACGCGCACGCCAGACTATGACCACTGTCGCCATGTTGTCTAGCAACTGGAGCCATATCCGTGTCGAGGCCATGGGGAACTCGAGAGATTGCAAAGCAACCCTCTGTAAGGCAGTTTGGAGACAGACACCACACTACACCATGTCTCGAATCTCTCTCTCCCCAGAAAACCAGAGCTTGTGTAGGCACTAGTTCGGCTTTCTTGAGATTGATAATCCAATCCCGCTAGTGAAAATACTCATCACGGAAAGGATTGCTTGGCATATGCTCTCAGTAGCCAGTCGTCTAGATATAGTGACAACACTTGCCCTGTGCCCTGACGACCTGCGTTGTAATAACATGAATTTGGTGAACACCCTTGGCAATGCCAAAGGAAA